GTCGATGGCCGCGCAGTGCGCGATTGTGGCGCGTGTATCGGCGAGGGCGGAGGCGGGGGAAGCGTCGCGGTAGTAGGAGGGCGAGAGGGAGGTGTCCATGCAGCAGCGGCCGATGAAGGCGCGCTGGCCTTGGGCGAGGCAGATGTCGGCGAGCAGGTTGGTGGATGCGACGGCTGTGGTGGCGTAGTAGGACGCGGTGGTTGTGCCGTGGGAGAGGGTGCGCTGGATGCAGCGCGTGTAGACTTGCCGGGCCTTGGGGAGCGAGGACAGCGAGGCTTCCATGGGGAAGGTATAGGTGTTTAGCCAGTCGAGGAGGGTTGTCTTGCCGAAGATTCCCGCGTTGGGGAATTGTGAGGCGTGGATATGTGTGTCTGTGATTTGTGTCAGCTATGTAACACTCTATCCTGAATCTGTATGTGGGATAGAGGATATATATACCAATGAATCCCGGGAAGAAGAATTGTCCTGGTTTCGCGGCCCGGATTGTGATATCTGAACGTGACCAGCCCAGCTTGGGACATATCGTCTCTTCCGCTTTCTTCAAATCACACGCCTGCTCAATAGCGACGATGATGCCCTTCTCATCAACAAAAACAGCAGTATCATGTAGATATTCAAGCTCATCCAAGCGCTTGCTATGGATGAAGCTTCCTAGAAAGACGGACTTCATGGTATGCGACATGATATGATAAGCTGCGCCCGTTGGTTCTCTACTCAGTGCTCGTTATCTCTTTACAAATAGAAGTCAAAAATCAGAAGTCAAAAGTCAGAGGTAAAGGAGATGCAACGCGGCGTTATATATCTATCTACACTCATTTACATTTCCCATTCTGTTTGTGAAGTAAATTTGTAGCAAACGGCCAAGGTCTATCAGTTCTGTTGGACCCTTCTCTTATTGGCTAGTCTAGTCTAGATATGGAAGGACTAGCCGGCGGAGGTCGCCTATGCCCGACAGCTGCTGGAGAATGCGGGGGGTTCCCCTTTTCAATGCAGACACATATGTTGTACCTGTGAGGTGGGAGACTTGAAATATATAATATATAAATTATTGCTACTTATAATAATCGCTTGAACTGTAGAACCGGTGCGTTCATATAATCCTGTCTTTGTTAGGATAAAATATATCATTCTTTAATTCACGTGATGTGAAGTCCACGGCATCTTGGAGGGAAAGACAGGTGGACACAGCAAAGTGAAAAGAGTATAGAGAAAGGAGCCAATAATCCGGTGAAAGGGAAAAGGGAAAATCACGAAAGGTCACGTGACGCAGCAATCCCTTGAATCGAGGCACGTGTTCCACGGTCTCTAGCTGGTTGTTTATAAAAAGAGCGGCGGTTGCTGTTTTACCTGAGTCGCCGACATCGAATAGATCTGTTCATATTAAGCGCGAGATCCAGCGGCTACAGCGTTTAGATACAACTAGAAACATGCAGGGATTAGTTGCCAATCGATTCAGCCAATTCTCCGCCGTTGATGTCATTCCCTGCTTAGCGCCATTCACGTTGATTGTTCCAAGATCTCTTCCCCTGTCCCGTCGAACCAACCCTGCAAATTAAGCATGTTCTAAAACCCAAGCGACCACCTGCAAAGGGAAGGGGGACGGGCAGCTTCATATTCATATTCACGCATATCCATGTGGTGTGTTGTGTTATGTTATGTTATTCACCCCCCTCGACTTCATCTGGCGCAAACATTCCTTTAGCAAACCATCCCGTTATTGTGTGTGTTATCGTACAGTACTGGCCATTCTCATTCTCTGAAACAAAGGACTCCCTCGCAAGATCCATATCAATACTCTGATACAGCAGCACCCACCCACCTTATGTCTCGATAGATTTCTGTATTCAAATCGCCCATCATGTCTGCCACTACGACTTCGTCGGCGGCCTCGGCAACAAGCACAGATGCCACTGGCCAAGGCCAAAAGTCTCAAGGAATCAGCATCGTAACTTTCCTTACGGCCTTGGTCACTGCGCTGGTCGTCTTTGCCGTTCAGATGCTCGTTTTCCTTCTACTGAAGAATAAACTTGCGCGGATATAGTATTTATTCCCTTGAACTCCCCTCGTTCAAAATAGCTTCATTCGACCCAGTGCTAACCTACTCTAGCAAACCAAAGACATATCTAGTCCCTGAGCGAGAACGAACAGATCCCCCACCAAGATCCCCTTGGGGTTGGCTCTTTACCATATTCCAATTTCGAGACCGAGAAGTCATCAATAAATGCGGGCTCGACGCATACTTCTTCCTGCGTTACCTCCAAACCCTCCTCATAATATTCATACCCCTCGCTTTCGTTATCATCCCGATTCTAGTACCCATCAACAGCATCGGTGGCAAGGGTGGTAGTTACGCATTATCATTTGGCAATAATACCGACAACAATTCTAATCACGCAAATGTTACTGGCCTGGATCAGTTGGCCTTTGGCAACGTCAGGCCGGACCACACACATCGGTATTGGGCTCATCTGATTCTCGCAATCGTGGTCATTGTCTGGGTCTGCGGAGTCTTTTTCAGTGAACTGCGGGTGTATATCAAGGTCCGACAAGATTACTTAACATCGGCCGAGCACCGTTTGAGAGCATCCGCGACGACCGTCCTGGTGAGCTCTATACCGCGGAAATGGCTCACCTCAGAGGCCTTAGCCGGCCTTTACGACGTGTTCCCTGGTGGGATACGGAATATATGGATTAATCGTAATTTCGACGAGCTGCTGGATAAGATAAAGCAGCGTGATAAGGTGTTCAAGAAGTTAGAAAGTGCAGAGACGAGCCTCATCAAAGATGCCAAGAAAGCTCAGAAGAAGCAACTTGAGAAGGAAGAGAAAATTGCTGCGAAGACATTTAAGCGTAAAGGAGCTACCAAGGAAGAAAAGAATCAGAAGATTGAGAGAGAAAACAGGGCAGCAGACATACGAGCACAGAGTGGAGGTGTGAGTGCAGGCGATCCTCACCAAGTACCTCATACCGTCGAAGATGCTATAGACGAGGAAACGCAAAGAGCTCAAGAGCAGGAACCCCAGGAACCCCAACGTAAAGGGACGATCAAGATACCAGTCATTGGAGGTGGCCTGGCTATTGTAGGCAAGGGTCTTGGGGGTGTTGGAAATACAGTTTTTGGCGGAGCAAGGAATGTTATCGGAGACTTGAATAATCAGCTTGAGACTACCAATGGGTTCGTAACCCTTGATTCGCCAGCTACAGCAGATGACGACGCGTACGATCAATATGGCCGATACCGAGGAATTGCCAATGCACCATATGGTGCAGGAACAGACCAACCAGACGAGAAAACGGACAATCTAAATAGGAGCCCCTCGCTGACATCCACGCGCAGCGTTAAGCTGCATGGACAAGCCATGAGGTTGCCTGGAAACAAGGTCCGAAGTGGTGCTGCCGAATTTGGCGGTGATGGTACAACCGACGTTCCTAAAAACATTGGATGGTGGAAGTTCTGGAAAGGTCCAGCCGGTGGGTTCCCATCACCACTTCCAACGGGCTATGAAGAGGGTGATGAGTTTCCCTTGACGGCAAGGCACGTGTCAGCAGCCCAAAGGAGCGAGCAAAAAGGGTCTTGGGCCAAGATCATATCCGTCTTGCCATTTCTCGACAAGGGGGAAGTGCAGCCTATTGACTATCCCGTCGCCTACAATGTCGACTACAAAGAGGATGCAGCACCTGCCGCTTGGCAGAGATTTCTTAAGGAGAAAGATCGACCAACATATCGGCTTCCATGGTTTACGTGGACCCCTGGTTGGCTACCTGGCCTTCCCCTGCTCCACAAGAAGGTAGACACAATATATTGGTGTCGTGAAGAGCTAGCCCGTCTCAATATGGAAATTGAGATGGACCAAAAGCATCCCGAACGTTTTCCACTTATGAACTCTGCTTTCATCCAGTTCAATCATCAAGTCGCTGCTCACATGGCTTCTCAATCTGTTACTCATCACGTACCAGCACATATGGCTCCCAGAACTGTCGAAGTTTCCCCTAAAGACGTTATCTGGGAGAACATGTCGATTAGATGGTGGGAGGCTTGGTTTAGAACTGGTGTTGTCGTTGCGATTGTTGTTGGCATGGTCGCTCTATGGGCCCTGCCTGTTGCCTGGACTGCTACTTTGAGCAATTTGAACAACTTCGCCAACCAATACCATTGGCTCCACTGGCTTAAGAACATTCCGGACAACGTTCTTAATGGGATCGCAGGTGTCTTGCCAGCTATTGTTCTCGGAATCCTCCTAGCGATAGTGCCGCTAATCTTAAAACTTCTCGCTTACCTACAGGGTGTGCAAACGGGCAAGGAGCAGCAAGGAGCTATACAAAACTACTATTTTGCCTTCTTGTTCGTCCAGGTCTTCCTAGTTGTCTCAATCTCGGGAGGCGCATTTAGTACCCTCGCCGCTTCCGCAACGGATATCCAATCCATTCCCGAGACCCTTGCAACCCAACTTCCAAAGGCAGCCAACTACTTCTTTTCCTACATGATTCTACAAGCTATGTCCACTGCTTCTGGTACTCTTCTTCAGATCACCACCCTCGCTCTATGGTACATACTGCCAAAGCTTCTTGACAGTACCCCCCGACAAAAGTGGGTGCGCAACACCAAACTCTCAGGCGTAACTTGGGGTACATTCTTTCCGGTCTACACCAACTTCGCTTGCATTGCACTCATCTACAGCATCATTGCACCCATTATCATAATATTCGCGATTATCACCTTTGGGCTTCTCTGGATCGCTCACCGATACAATATGCTCTACGTGACTCGGTTCGAGTTGGATACTGGTGGACTGCTATACCCTCGCGCAATCAATCAGACCTTTACCGGTCTTTACTTCATGGAAGTCTGCATGATTGGCCTCTTCTTCCTGGTTCGGGATGTCAACGATGATGCGGCTTGTATTCCTCAAGCAATCATCATGATTGTAGTCTGCGCGTTAACCGTCCTCTTTCAAGTTCTCTTGAACTACTCCTTTGGCCCCCTTTTCCACCACCTTCCCATCACATTCGAAGACGAGGCCGTTCTCCGCGACGAAGCCTTCGAGCGTGCTCAAGCCCGTCGCCTTGGTCTCGAAGATGAAGATGAAGATGAAACAAGCCCAGCTGAAAACAACGGCGCAATCGAAATGACCAGACTCAACGATGATGCCACAGACAACAAGCTCGGCAAATTCAATCCCGTCAACATCGCCCAAGGCGCAGGATCCTGGGCCGTCCGCTCCGGGCAAAAATTCAAAGCCAAAGCCTTTGATAAAGTCACATCACAGACACCAGTCTTGCACCGGAAACGGCACCGCGATATCGAAGCGCAGAAGAAAATCGCCGACGCTTTATACGGTGGCTATAACGATGACATTGAAGACCTAACGCCTGACGAAAGAGATGTACTCGTCAAACACGCGTTCCAGCACTACGCTTTACGAGCCAGGAGGCCTACGGTCTGGATTCCTCGAGATGATATTGGGATTAGCGATGACGAGGTGAAGCGGACGCGAGAGTATGCGGGGCCGAATATTTGGATTAGTAATGTGGGCGCTGCGTTGAATGGCAAGTGTAAGGTTGTTTACGGGAAGAACCCACCTGATTTCTCGGAGATTGATCTGATTAATCTTTGATGTGGATGGAGTAGGAGGAGAGGAGAGAGGTGTATATAACGTTTGTGCATGCATTTAGCGGCTTTGAATTGGACTGGGGAGTGGGATCGATCAGGATTGGATGGATGATGCCCCGGGGCGTTTCGGTTTACTGCACATAAATATAGATATCCAAATACCAAGAACGCACGCGTAGTTGTTTTATTTTACACTTTAAGATATATTTTACCATTGCTTGCTATTGCTTTTACTCCCCTTGAATAAAAACCTACCTGCCGAAATAAACCAACACCTTATAGTATCTAACCTATACCCCTTTTTCTATTAATTCTTTTCCATTCTCTTTCTCTTTCTTATCCCCCATAATACCGCCCCTCACCCCCCTTATCAAACCTTCCTACTCACTCACTCACTCCCTCCCTCCCTCAAAACACTCCCCCAGACCGCCAACTCAAGAATCCAACCATTCCAATCCATTCCTTTCCCTCTCCCCGAATACCCACGAGCGTCACTAATCACTCCCTAAACCTATACATACATACATGCATATTTAATCACAAGAGCACCGCACCGCACTGCACTGTGTAAAAGAAAAGTGAAAAGAAAAGAAAAAGTTAATATATTTATTCTTTTAAATGGCCAGGCCAGATTGAACTCCAAACGCCATACCATGCCATGCCAGGCCAGGCCGTGCCAAAACTCTACTTGGTTATTTAGTCGAATGTACAGAGTAATGCAAATACTACTCCTACTCCATCAACAACACACTTTTCTCATCCTTAGCATTAACCCACACATACTCCACACACCTAGGATCCGTCTTGCCCTGCCCCAACGTCACACTCAGCAGATTAACCTCCAGCCACGTCGGCCGCATGCCAAAGGCCTCCAGCCGTTCCCACCACTTCCCAAACGTCTCAAAGTTCACGTGCTGGTCATCCACCAGATGCAGCTCAATCATTACCTGCCCGATTGGAAAAATGCCCGTCTTGTCACACTCGTCCATAAACGCATCTAGCGCTGTGTATTCCGACCCTTCGATGTCGATCTTCAGGATATCGATGTACGAATGTTTGTTCTGCGCCATGAGCGACGCTAGGCTGAAGAACTGCGGCGTCCGGTACAGCTCATCTTTCGCGCCGAGTCCCAGTTGCTTGAAATGCGCGCGCGCGGAATAGCTGGGGCTGAGCTGCGGCCCGAAACTGGTTACAGAGTAGTCGTAGGCATAGATGTGGGCACTGGGGATCCGCGCTAACATCTCAGCTTCAAAGGTCGATTCGTCATTGACGCCGAAGGAGTAGATGATGGTTTCAGTGCTGGCTTGCTGGGAGCTGGACCTGGAGATGGCGGGCGCAGGTTTGGCCTCGTACAGCGACATGCCGCAGACCCATTTCCCCCCATCGCCTAGGCGGCCGACGCGCTGGATGTCGTGCGGGCAGGTGTAGGTGGCGGGGAAGAAGTCCCATAGTGTGTAGGGGTACTGGCCGAATTGGTCGAGGGTCTGCGCGGGGAAGAAAGGTACCTGTGGGTGTGCCGGGTGTGCGGTGGCCATGTCGTGGCGGAGGGAGACGGAGGAGCGCCACGAGGATTCGGAGCGTGCCATTCGTTGGCGGGTGGAGAGGCCGAGTTGTTTGGGGGATGTGGTTGTGCTGGTGTTTGTGGATATTCCGAGGGGGAGGAAGCCACGGGTTTGGTTGAGGACGACGAAGATGAAGAAGGTAAAGGCGACCCAGAACCAGATACCAATGACTATGGGTTTGTTAGGTTGGTGGAGTTGGTGTTGAAGGGATGGGAACGTACCTTGACCCATTCGAACAGCCATGTTGAAGACTATTGCGAGGTAATGAGAGAGAGATAGACTGATGTGTTATCCTTCACAGAAGGAAGACGTCAGATTAAAGAATACTATAATCTCTCTAGCATGCCTCTCCAGAATAAGAATGCAATGTCTCAGACGCCGCACAATAGATAATTACCAGTAGTATTCTAAGAATATGAGAGGAAGAAAGGAAGAGACGAAAACATGAGTTCAAAGAAAGAAAGGGATGAAAGCATATAAAAGGGATCAGGAAGCACAAAGCACGCCCGAAGAAGATCAGCCTCGATCAGGATTTGAAACGAAACAAACGTGAAAGGAACACCACAGATACGGAATAAGAGGGTACAGTATAATGTTCGAGCTGGGATAAGAAAGCTGAGGATCGCGGGCATGAGCCAGTGACATGAATCCGCGGAACAATGCAGGATTCTCTCCTTCTGGGACAAAGTAGGAAAACGGCTGCGATGCGATACACGCTCACGGCTCTCGTGGTTTCACCGTGAAGGGACAAGAGCTGTTGCCGCTTGGCAGATGCCGTACCGTACCGTACATACCTTACTATACGGTATTGTATCTGCAGTAAGATGGCAAATAAAAGATGTTGCACAGTGGTGCGGTACAGCACCACTATTATACTGTAACCGCCAGGCTTATATTGCCTTGTTCTCGGTGATGCGTGTGCATTCAATGGGGTAAATGCGTGACCGGGCTGACTGTGTATGTTTCAAAGACGTTGCCGTTCCCAAGATGTGATACGATGGAAGGCTTGGCATGTGTTGGAAAAGACGAGACGGGCTGAGATGCGAGAGGATGGAAACTGAAGCTAGCCGGTTACATATTAGCGAGGCGAGGGAATCCCAGCCTTACATTTGTGGACCGAGACCGAGCTGGAAATAATTGCCGATTCACGGTTGGTACGAGAATTTATTCTATAAATATACAAATTTACCATCCTTCCTTCCTTCCTTCCCTTCTTGAAGTTTACTTTGTTGGACCCAAATCACAAGGTATGGTCTCCTTTCACGTTGTCTCAAGATAAGGGTCTATATAGATAATTGCGGGGGAAGCGCCCCTGATTGTGGGGGGAGGGGGAAACGCACAAGGCATCGGCTATCCTTCCCAACACCACTTCAAATAGGAAAGAATACCTCCGTAAGTACAGTGATCGACTTGATTCTACGTCAGTTCGACAAGGGGTCTTGTAAGCAAAGCTGTATTGGGTTTTGCTTGGGGAAATCGTAGATGACAAGGTCTTTGCACACGTTCCGGTTGACTATATATGAAGTATATCAGCAACACTACAAAAGATGGCTCAAAGTAGCGCTGCAAACCTTACAGTGTGAGATATAGAATCTTGCATCCTGATTCAGGTCTTGATTAGGGGGTCAGTCAGGTGCTGACCCAACGGTATCTTTATATCGTCTTCGAGAGGGACTTTACGCTTCGTTTGCCACTGTCGAATGCTATGGTTCAAACCCAATAACGGGTGCGGTAGCGATTTCAGGCTATATTCTGGGACGATTATGGTAGATACTACCGCAGTATCTAAATTCTGCGGAATGTTGGTGCTAGTAGTAGACGGGGATGAAGATGGAGATGGAGATGGATATAGAGCATCAGAAGTAAGGCGTGCCTACTTTACTACTTGCTCTTGTTTCAGGTCCTCAAATGTCAAACTTGACATCTTCCCACGGCTTGCTACCCCTCGAGTCCAAATCAACAAAGCCTGGTAGCCGAGGCATTCCTGACCAGCAGTCTCAGCTTCAACTCGCTACACAGCTTCCTTTATCTTCTTCTCTAGGGGATTAACCACCGCTCCACTGTCTACAAGCACAAGCTCATCAACTCTGTCCATCGCAAATTCGACCCGCTGCCAAGTCTTCAAGCTCCCGGTACTTGGATCGAGTTCCAAAACCCGAGCTCCTCTGTAAAATCGCTCTTTGCCATACGAACAATAACCCCCGAACCCAGTGCAACCTGTATGACATAGCCAAGGGCCAAACTGGGGGGCTTTATCGCCATCCTGCTGCGTTTGTCGTGGCAGCAGAGCGCAAAAGTTATTCACGTGATCGTGCCCGCAGAATAATCCTGATATGCGTTCCTTGACTAAGATTTTATAGAAACCGGAATTGGATCTAGGGCCCTCAGTCGGTTCCCTCCGGTGGCCTTTGTAAATACGAAGACTACGATATCCGAACTCGGGAAGAGGGATGTGTTGGAAAACCATAGCCAGATGAGAGGGGTTGTTATTATCGTCGTCCTTACGCGTCCTTCGTAGCGCTTGGGAAGTCTTTGAAAACCAGTCAATTTGGCTCTGCTTGATAGGGTCATAGTCGGGGCGTATTATGCTCGGTATTTGACCGTGCGAATCCAGGAAATATAAAGTCGATAACGGGAGCTGTGATGGGGCGGAGGCGAGAGGCAGGACCTGAAGGTAGAAATTGCCTATGCCGTCGACCTCTTCTGGGCCTGACTCGCAGAGGCTAAATGGCAGATCCTGAAGTATTGACATTTGTTCCATGCCTGTAATCTAGTTAGTAAGAATAGACTGCTATCATTCCTAGTAACTTTAACTACTTTGCAAAGCAAAGCAATCTATAGTGTTTGCGAGAGTGTGACAATGTCGAATGTGTTCTCGATCGCTGGCTCTGTATTGGCGGCCTTATAAAAGAAGCTACTTACGTGATAATGCGTACGGACCCTCGCTATCATGATTGCCAAAGACGGCTACCCATGGGATTGAACGCTCAATCATAGGAACAACTACCTTAAAAAGGGCAGACTGGGTGTCGTAGATGTCGTGGTGCACTTGATCTCCAGTGAGAACTACAAGGTCTGGTTTCTCAACATCCAAGATCTTTCCAATGAAGCCCACCGTACGTGGATCAGCCTCGCTCTCTAGTAGATTCTTCCCATCGGCATCAATAGCATCTTCGCATACCCCGACACCAGTGCGCATGTGCGTGTCAGAGATCAGGAGAATCTTGAATTTGCCATCCGCCCCGACTCTCAATGTCGGCTGATCTGGTCGCGGCTTGGCCCTGCCCCGGCGGACGCTTAGTCTTGCAACCGGTAACTCTGGCTGAGCTTGAAGTTGCAATGGTGACTCCATGAGAGCCTGTTGTGGTCGTGGGTCAACGGCATCCACACCAAAGAGAACGTCCACCTCGGTCACAGCCTGATCAATCGCGCCAGAAAATTTGCTTTTCAGCACCCAGATTCCACCAGGTTGACTCTCCCAAGGATGACCTGAGCTAGGGCTAGGAGGCAGCTCGCTGACTATGATATCCGTAACCACCAGATCCTCAGCTGCAAGGTCTTCCTCATTCGCTAGCTTTATATATAGCCATGCACTCTGCTGAGATGTATGTAGGTAGAGCTCTTTCTCTATGCGGCGCCATATTCGTGGGTCCAGTTCGCAGGTGGAAGGAGGAACTGTCGGGGAGAAGATGCATACGGCGAGATCCGTGACAACTGGGTGAGCAACAACGGTCGCAGTATGGGGACTGGACGACGTCGCCATTTTGGAGGGGAAGACTCTAAAAAGGTCAAGAACACGAAGCATTGCGGCTAGTATAACTACTGCTGAGGCAAGTCTCAACGCAGATATCTGTCGTTATTTCGAGAAGAGAGCAATCGCACCTCAATCGCTGGCGGCGGCAGTTATGACATGACTTTCTTGGCAATGACATCTCAGGGCTGTATATGTCCAGATGCAATTGCAAGCTTCTCTGAGGACAAAGATGGAATCTCGACTCTAGTTTCTGATAGGGGGTCGGTGGAAGATGGTGCTTGCACCCGATAGATTTAGACTTTCCAACATCACTTCAAAGCATCAATGATTCCAGATTTGGAATTGAATTGTAGGATTCGATTAACCAACGATCGAGCCACAGGCAATTGTTACCGCCGTGCCTGTGACCTTGCAGCTTTACAACACTGGGAGGTTTAGTTGACTAACATATGAAGCACTATATTAGACCGCTACTTGAACGAAAGAGCGTGTACTCTTCGGTGGACTTCTTAGCGTAAGCGAGGGCCGTTCCGCGATCTACTGTACAGCAGAGGCAGAAAAGCTTCACGGTATCTATCGAAATATCAAGAAAACAGCGCAGAAAACACCACTACAGTCAGTACCAGAGCTTTTCTCAAATGAAATATATTATCGGCGAGAAATTCATCTGAAGCTTTTGTTGTTTTTATGTGCGGGATGTCCGGATAGAAAGAAATACCGTATAAGAACTTGGTGCAGTCTGCATGGTATGGTCACGATATAAAAAGAAAGCTGGGATGGAGGAGAGGGGTCAGATGACAACCTGGAAGGTGGGGTGGGGTGGGGTGGGGTGGGGAATATCCATGACATGACACCAGCTTAGAAATCCGGAACAGGCAATCGGGATGAAGCTCTAAATTTAGTCCTTTACTAATCAGTATCTCGTCTCATCTCATCCCGAGCTCCCATATCCAAAGAAGATCTGGCCGTGATTCTGTTTAGAGTTGGTTTGTGAGTGATTGGAAAAGACGATTGAGTGATTGATTGATTGACTGATCCTATAGTACTGTACCTTCGTATTTATCGAGTTCCACGACCCCGCAATCCTCTCTACAATCATTGCACACCAAGCTCCACCTCCACCTCCACCTTCTTTTCAACAACCAGTTTCCAAGAAAAACCACAATATCTCAAGTCTCATCTTCCACCCTCAATCCAACTACAATGGATACCAAAACTGGACTGTGGTCGTCAGTCAAAGACCCCCAATCGGGAATGTGGTCTCTGCCAACGAGCCCAACGTCTCCGACTGCGCCTGTTGCTTCGGCGCTGCCGCCGACGTACAGGTTGAAGAATCAGGGACGTCGAGTGGCCCAGATCGTGAAGCTGAAGCCGGAGTGCGTGGAAGCTTATAAGGAGTGCCATGCCAAGGTTTGGCCGGAGGTTTTGAAGCAGATCAAGGAATGTAATATTGAGGATTGTAAGTGATAATGTGTACGGGTCTAGAGCTTTGGGTGCAATGTCCTGGAGCTTCCTACTCGTGTTTCGCATTCTGCATTCCTAGCTCATTGGGGTCACTGTGGTTGTTTTAGCTATTAAACGTTCTATGCTAACGTCCCCCCTCCAGATTCCATCTTCCATGATCCTGCATCCACCATCCTATTCGCTTCTTTCAAGTACGTGGGTTATAACTGGGTGGGAGATATGGAGAAGATGCGAGAGAACCCGAAGGTTCAGGAGTGGTGGCGGATGACGGACGGTTTTCAAGAATCGATGGTTGAGGGAGCCAAGAGTAGTATCGATGGGGAGCCTTCATGGTGGAGAGGCTTGGAGGAGGTGTTTTACACTCCATGATCTCCTTGTATGCAAACAATCGAGATCAATTCATGACGATATGAGGAATGAAAAAGAAAATACAAAAAACGTTACACTACCTCATATTCCCAAACAACCCTCCAAACAACCCCGTCCCTCCCCCACCACCACCTCCGCCTTGTCTCCTCGCCTCCATCTTAATCCATTCCCTCATCCAGTCCCTATCCCCCATCTTCCTGGCATCCACGACTTTTGTCTGCGTCTGAGCCTCCCCTCGATCGAAACTCAGCAGCGTCGGCATGCTTGTAATCATGTATTCCATGCCCAATCCACCCTCCATAATATCCGGCGCATCGAACTCGACCTCGCAGAATGAGACGCCGCCCTCGTCTTCGCCCACCCCCGACTCGATCAGGTCCTGGATGATGGGTGACACGGTTCGGCAGGTGTTGCAGTAGGATGCGGTCCAGAGAGTTAGCATGGGAGTGCGCGATGAGGTTGAGAGGAGCAGATTGGTGGAGAAGTCATCGGGACGACGCACTCTTTGGAGTTGTCAGATATATGGGGTTGGTCAATGGGGGACGGATTGGCGTCTTACGGAGTGTATATCCTGTTCTTGGCTCTGTTTTCTTTTGTGCTTGAGAAGTGCCGTAATGTTCGTAATGTTGCTGGGAGGGAAGTAGTGAGAGACCCGTTTCTGTGTGCAATTGAGACCTGCAGAAGTCGTATGGCTGGTTTCGCAATCATGGTGAGGAGACGTGGGAGGTTTTTATTGGCGAAAGTGATAGATATATCTTCAAGCCGCCATGTCTGTCCAGGGAATATAATCAAGATCAGCCTCGGCAGACGCGCTTCACATTCCCAAGGTGCAAGCAGCTGTCTCGCTTGATAACAATAATGGCGTCATCGAGCAGTTCATATGCCGCATCCTTGTCGATCTTGCATGTGCGGTGGAAGTGTGAGGCGCAGAGAGGTTGAAACAGACGGGCGGGGCATCACTTGACAGCTTTCTTGACAGCCTTTTGGACAAGGCGGAGATATCACGGGGCCCCAGGAAGGCCGATCCTTCAGCTTGTGAGATAACATTTCATATATCTACCCAAAAAGGTGTTCGTTCACTCCTCTCACCATGTTGCCTCTTGCCTACCTTTCTTCTTTCTTCTCTTCAAGTCCCTACGTCCCTACGAAAGAGAACATTTCTTTCCCCTCTCTCGCGATCTCATACCATTCCATTGCCCTCTCCAAATCCCCAGTTTTCTGCGGTCCGGGTGGTCTTTTAGACAGGTCTAGAGGAGTTCACCGCCTGGCAAGGACGACTCGAGGACCACCATCTCTCTTGTCGTCTGCATAGATGTCTTTGTCTACTCTGCAATAGATAGCATAGAGCCTTCCTCTTTCAGCGTTGGTTCCCTAGCTCTCTACCCTCCTTGAGCTCGAGACAGAGGCATATTCTCCTCCTCACTCTCCCTTCCTCATCCTAAACTGCAATGTGCAGCACTCTCTTAGCATCAACCTACTTTATCTCCCTTGAACTACCTATGAATCCTCTTTCCAACCCACGAGTCTTTACTACGTGGGCTTACCTCTGACTGTATTCCAGCAGCCCGCGCCTCGAAGTTTTGGAACAAGACTCCCGCCTCCACACCTAAACCCTACACATCCGAGAGTTTCGGCAACGATGACGGCGGCGACACAACAAGAAAAGGAATCGATCTCAACGCCAATCTCAGACCCTAACCCATCCTTCTTTGCGCGTAACCTAGCCTCGAATGGTAACGGCGACGAGCATTTAGCAGTAGACGAGGATGAAGAAAAGGAATCACGGCCTACAAGATGGAGCATGGGAGTTTTGAACGATCATGACACCCACGAAGTACCTGGTAGGCATTCCAACCCTTAACATTTCTACCTTTACTAATTATTACCCCTCTAGGTTCTGTTCTGCTTTTGACCGGCGATCGAAATCAACCACTAGGCCTTGGAAATGCTCCAGCCAGAACTTCTACGTCTTCTATACCACAACCACCTTTAGCGCCCACCAAAACACGGCGTCAATCCCGACAAGATAAGGAACAGGAGGGCAAGAAGACTACACCAGATGGAGCCATCATCCTTGATCCTCAACCAGATGAATCAAACAACGACCCGCTGAATTGGCCAAAATGGAGACGGGATTGTTCTTTACTCTCCCTGGGTCTATACTGTATGGTTGGCGGTGGTATGACTCCAGTTCTGGCAGCTGGGTTCACCAATGTCGCTTCAACCTATAATGTCACTGTTCCCAAGGTAGCGCTGACAACTGGACTGTACATGATGGGACTTGGCGTAGGCTCCGTTATTGCTTCTCCAACCGCCATTTTGTTCGGCAAACGTCCTGTTTATCTTGCCAGCGCTATACTTTTTGTTGCTACTTCTGTTTGGTGTGCTGCATCACCAAGTTATAACTCCCTGCTTGTGGCACGAATAATTCAAGGCATGTCTGTCAGTCCCGTTGAATGTCTACCTTCAGCTACGATTGCAGAGATCTTTTTTCTTCACGAGCGTGCTTATCGTATTGGTATATATACTCTACTACTTCTAGGTGGTAAGAATTTGATTCCGCTAGTTAGTGCAGCTATCATCCAATCATTGAGTTGGAGATGGGTTTTTTGGTGAGTATTCTTTCTGGTGTGGCAATGTTAAATTTCTCTAATGATTTACAGGATTGTCTCCATAGTTGTAGGGTTTGTTGGCATGCTTCTGTTCTTCTTCCTTCCTGAATCTTTCTGGGATCGAACACCACGCCCGAAGAGCCGAAAGCCCTCGAGAAACGCTTCGAGAAATGCTTCGAGAGTTTCTTTGTTCTCAAACAAGTGGCATTCTCACGCAGGCCCCGACATGAAAGGGTCCAATCAGGTTGATGGAACTACCGATGATGGAAGCGCCGGAAAACTCGCAATCAAGAATTTACCAACCTTGGAACTTCCTCAGCGACCGTCTTCCGCTCAGACCCCTGCCCGCAATCATCATGTCGAATTCGCTAGCGACGAGATCGAGAAGGGCATTGAAGAGCACAAAGGCGACGGCCATCTCCTCACCCCAGACCAAATTCGTTTTGCTAGGACGGGCTCAGGTTTGTTACATGCGTACTGTTGCAAAAACGTTATACTAATCATCTACTAGGGAGAAGTGTTGCAACACTTAATAACCCCATCCCCAGGGTTGAGTCCTTTGACCCTGCACATGAATTCAGAGACCGTGTGATTCCTCTTGGTGGCGCTCCACCCACTCCTGCTCTGCACTCTCTTAACTCACCCTTTTATGCGGATTGTGAGAGCGGGAATGTGGATTATCTCACCAGTCGGCCCAATCACCAAATTGACATTGAGCCACTTCCCCCAATCAGCGACAAAGATGATATACCACCCATCGCTCTTCCCACCGAAAAGTCACCTGGTGTTAAACGTAAACATTATACGAATCATCTCAGACAGCGTCCACCACTTACATTCGTTCAACAGCTAAAGCCCTTTAATGGCCGACTGACCCATGACAACTGGTTCAGGGTAGCCCTCCGTCCGTTTATATTATTCGCATACCCAGCAGTTCTATGGTCTGCTGGTGTCTATTCATGTGCCGTGGGATGGCTCATTGTGCTTTCCGAATCAGTTGCTGTTATTTATCGTAGTAAAGACACCTATGGATTCTCCGCCCTCTCAACCGGCCTCATCTATCTCTCCCCATTCATAGGCGGTGTCCTCGGTACAGCTGTTGCTGGAAAAGTCAGTGATATTATCGTTCGAGCAATGTCTCGCCGCAACGGTGGTCTCTACGAGCCAGAATTCCGTCTCGTTATGGCTGCTCCTGTCGCAATTACTACTGTCATTGGTCTCATGGGTTTCGGCTGGTCTGCACAAGTTCATGATTCCTGGATTGTGCCTACAATTTTCTTTGGCATTATCTCCTTTGGTTGCTCCCTAGGTTCGACGACCGCCATCACCTTTTGCGTCGACAGCTACCGGCAATATGCTGGCGAGGCGCTTGTCACGCTTAATTTCAGCAAGAACATCTTCCATGGATTGGTGTTTAGTTTGTTCTTTAATAAATGGCTGACAAATGATGGGAGTAGAACCGTGTTTATGTGGTTGGGCATCATTCAGTTGATTCTCATGGCGTCTTCGGTACCGATGTATATTTTTGGCAAGAGGGCTAGAATGTGGACTGTTAGAAAGAACTTGATGGAGAAGTTCTGATTCTTTTTGGTTTGCTTTTGGGTTTGGCGAAATGTTTATGAAGCTTTTGAGCGGGCGCTAAGTATGATGCTAGAGATTGGACTAGACTAGCATTGGGTATGACTGGCGTTTCGGTATACTTATACCTGAGTTATTGATAAGAATATTGATTATAGCTTTTCATGGATTCCTTGCTCTTCCTAGCCAGTGCTTCCGCTCTCGTTACGACCTACCTTGGTCTAGTCTCGCTCGCACTCGCATCCGTGCCAGCTCATGCCGATTTTTATTTGTTTTGAGGTTGTGTGGTAAAAATTGCCGGTGCGATGCGCAACAAAAGCTAATACTCTCATGACTCTTTATATAGCGATGGACAATTCAATGTCGAATTTCTTTCGCATATGAGAGGGAGTTGTTCGCAATTCTTTAGTTGTATAAGCAGTCGCCTCTACCTGTATTTTCCAAACTCTCCCCCCTACCCACATAACCTCCTGGCCATGCAAGCCTTATTTTAAACGGGGTTCTTGAAGTTCCAAGAGCTCATTCCCTCGAAAGACGGTCTAGTCATCAGATTGGTTGTTTCGCAAGTCAATCCCAGGGCGGAAAGGGCGCAGCTGCTTAGTCAGCCGAAGTACTGTAGCTTATTAAAGGAGAAAGTCGCGTAACTCTCCTATTTCCTTCTTTGGGAATTGCAATACATATCACGACACCTGTTTCCGAGGTAAATTGAGTGGTTATGGCCTCATCCGCTCGCACCTACCTGGCTTTCCAGCACAATTCGAGCCTCCACACCCTCAAGGCAATCGTGACCTCCATCCGCCCTTTCGCCGCTCTCGAAGAAGCCAACCGCCAGCTCTTCAAATCCGGCACCCACGAAGACCATGTAATCGTCACCGACAAAACAATCTTCCATTCCCAAGGCGGCGGCCAGCCTTCGGATGTCGGCACCATGAATGGTCAATCCAACTCGTCTTTTGCTGTGGCAGCCGTCCGCATGGATGCTGTGCGTGACGGGCAGGTCTTGCATTTTGGCCGCTTTACCTCCCCTGGGACCAGTCTGTTTGAAGAGGGTGAAATAGTAGACCAGGCTATCGATGTCGAGAAACGGCTCTTGTACTCGCGGCTCCACACCGCGGGCCACGTGCTCGGCGCCGCGGTACGGCATCTTCTCGAGGCGGAAGTCCCCGGCTTCGACGAGCTGAAAGCGTCGCATTTCCCTGACGCAGCGTCGTGTGAATTCCAAGGCGTTATTGAGGGCAAGTGGAAGGGACCTATTCAGGACAAGGTAGATGAGTATGTGAAGGCGAGAATGCCGGTTGAGATTGGGTGGTGGGACGAGGAGGATTTCAAGAAGCATGGATTGGAGAGGCTGATTCCTGATCGGAGTCTGGCGCCGCCGGGGGAGAAGTTTCGGGTTGTGAATATTGTGGGGGCGGAGGTTTATCCGTGTGGGGGGACGCATGTTGAGACTACGGATTTGTGTGGGGAGACTAAGGTGAAGAAGATCTCGAGGAGTAAGGGGACGTCGAGGGTTAGTTATGCTGTGAATTGAGAGATCAGAGTTGGCTCTAGCTTTACTCGGCTGTTTGGCTCATACAGAGTGTTTTGGACAAAGTACATTGTAGGGTGGTGAGGCAGGCATTGGGACATCTATCCACTCTTTGATTGATCACTCAAGACTTACTCACGTTTCTCCAGGCATCAACTCACCTTCCCAATCGCTGGTTGTCGAATCCTACACGATATAGCTATCGATATGCCTTGCTCCTTACTGTGAACTGAAAGCGTTAGAAAATCAGAGACAATGAATCGAAGTCTGATTAATTAACGCATCCTATCAACTAACTTCACTTGCTGGCATATCAATATAGTGGATGATACATAAAGTTCGATTTTTAGTGAATGAATGAATGAATGAATATGCTAGAATACGTCAGGCTAGAAGAATAATTAGGCAGACATATTAGTGTCGTCGAGAAAAAGTAAATCATAGTGCAATAGCAATTCAAGAGGAGAGAAGAGAAAGAGGGAAACTATGAACACTCTCTACTGGAAGTTCTCACAAGATCAGTTAGGTACCATCCAAAATACATCTGGTTAATTGTAAAAAACTCCTCTTTATGTATTATAAGCCTGCCTATTAATGCAGATAGAACGCGAGTCTGGTGGATAGGATGCCTTTCTTAACAGAAATCGCAAGAGTATATATACTATATAGTAAGGGATGAAATTAAACCTGCATCTAAAGATAGGAATACTATAATACAAGGCAAAAAACAAAAACAAAAGCGAAATTAGGAATATTTAGAATAGCTCGCTAAATGCAATGCTCTATTCGAAAGAATATTTCATCATCTTCAAATATTAGATTCGCTCTTGCTCTGAACGGTTGTTAATTTAACGGCCAAAAGGAATGCATCTCTCTTCAAAGTTACAACTTACAAGTAAGCAAGCGTGTCGTAAATGATAAACATTAATGATTCTGGCATATTTATTAATAGAAGAAATGTATTCTAAAAAGAGGAGGGGAGGAGAGGGGACAGGAGAGGAGAGTTGATATCATCGCCCCACCTAGGTTACCCAATCAAAAAACCCCCCAACTACCTAGGTACTAATCACTCGTCTTCCTCATCCAATAATCCCATTCCCTCTTCCTCACTCTCCCATTCGCTCTCATAACCGCGCAAAGAGATGCGCCTCTCATCACCCCTCCCTCTCAAGTCCTTCCTAAAACCCAAATCCAAAATGTCAACGTCAATGTCAATTTCAAGCACCTCTGCTATTCCCACACCCATCCAGCCAATCTTCTCATCAACATACTCCCAATTCCAAGGAACGCAGGAGCTCTCTACCCTCCTAAAACCGAATGGGAAATGGAGGCTGGTTGAGAATGGGAGGGGGATTGAGAGGCGTGTACGCTTTAGGGGGTTCAAGAAATGTTGGGTGGGTTTTCTGTCCTCCTTTTTCTTCGTGTTTTTTCATATCTAGTATTTGATATACGATAACATGTTCCGTGATTTCCACGCGGTTGAGGCTGAGGCTGATGTGACATGGTAAATTTAGGAATTCATGGATACAGTAGCGTCGGAATGCGTGGTACAGAAACATCATCCCGAGTGGTCGAATGTAAGTCAAGCCAAGTGAAGTCAAGTCGAGTCACGTCACTTACTCATCCATGATGCCCGCCCTTTTTCTTCTTCTCTTTTGAGGAGAAAGGGATCCGGAAACAGCGGAAGAGAAGGGGGGGTTTTATATATGTATGTGTATTAATGCATGCGTAATAGGTATATAACACAACGTTTATACGCTGGACGACTCATTCTCCACCGGGGCTGAGCGAGAAAGATGTATTGATGGCTAGGTATTGTGATGAGATTGCGGGGAAGTGTGGTGAGGTTGAGGATGTGGGTGTGGATGTGCTGGAGGAGAGCGAGGTAGGGAGGGAGTTAGTAGATAGGGTTGGGGTGGAGGCGGGGGATTGTTGTGTGCCTAAGAAGGTTTGAGGTTTGCTAGTTGGGAACTGACTGGCTCAGTCATGGTCAAGGGTAAAGGAAGGCAGTAGGTAGTGTATCGCAATCTAATTAATTAGGTTGGCCGCCGTCAGAAAACGACGGCCTTTGTATAATAATCTAAGGAGCCTCTTGACTCCAACAACGCCGTGTGGTTCTAGCATCTAATACCCACGGATTATATGTCTCCGTTTACCCCACTCTCCGAGGCCCTCTATGGCCGAGCATCCGCTGATTATGATCCCTTAATGCCTGTGTACACTGCCGTGCCACCCATATGTACAAGCTCTCTCTTATCTGCTCCATTTACTGGGCCTTCTTAGCCGCTTTCTTCTGCGCCTTCTCACGTCTCGCCTTAGCGGCCTCTGGTCCAGACTCGGTGTCCATGATATAATCCCACCATCTGAAGCTACTCGCATAATTGCCGATGAACTTCTCGTGGTGAACATCATGATGCTCAGCACCGGCCCAGAACGGCAAGAAGTGGTGCAAGCTCCAAGGGAATTCGTAGCCACTGTGTGCATCGATGGCTTGAAACAGACGGCAGGTGATCCAGAGGTACATGGTCAAGACGTGAAAGTTCTTGGTGCAGAGGGCCCAGACAATTGGGACTACGACTGTGCCTGCGCCGAGGACCATGGTCTCAATAGGAGAGGCGTATTCAGCGGCAAGACCAAACGGAGCCGAGTATTGGTGGTGGATCTTGTGAACGTTCTTGTAGAGAGGACCCCAGTGAAAGAGGCGGTGCGCCCAGTAATGCCATGTATCCTCTATGACGAAGAATATTGCGATTTGAAGAGCCATAGTGGTCCATGCTGGGAAAGGGACGCCGGTGTCCATGCCACAGGCCTTGGCCATTGGGTGGAACAGCCAGATCTGAGGTAATTCGACGGTGAAATGACTGAGGAGGACGAGCTTCGTGCATGCCCATTGTTCTCTAGCGGTTGGGATCTTTTGCCCCTGAATCTTGTATTTGTTGAAGTAGGGTATGGCATCGATTATAATCCAGGGAATGCTGCGGCCAAAATAGACGGCTTCGTGCATGACGAAACTGAGGATTCCGGTCGCGAGGACATCGTTTTGCATGTAGGCATACCAACTCTGGACGGTGGGTTAGTAGACATCTCAATCATATGGCGGTTGATGGTGATACGTACGGCCCACAATCGCTCAAAGATGTTCAAGTGAACATTATACTTGGACAGCTCGTTGTAGATACCTATGTAGGTGTCGGGGGCTGTTAACAGCGTAGAGTTCGACATGATGTCCATCGGGCAGAGGTGCGCAGGTGTGTAGCAGAGGGAGTCGGAAAAAGAGAGAGAGTTGTTGGGGATGAGGAAGAAATGCTGGTCAGGGTCATTCCGGTCTTTTATTTAGCGCCAATGAATATCACACACCACAATCAAGGGGTCGGAAACTGAGATGCCGGTTGGGTAGAGACCAGCGCTAGTGCCCAATTAGGGATTAGTTCCTGAATAACGTATTCTACAAGGGTGCAATAAAGAAATTTACAAACATCAACATCTGTAAGGTACAGGGTCAGGTAGGAAAGAATAAATAAAGACGAAATGCAATTATGTATGACAATATACCCTTGCAATGATGTATATCTCCTGATGCTCCCCCTTATCGATTTCTCACAAAACTGCTGCTGAGACTCATCATCTTCCCTCCAAATTATAACGGCTTTCACGTGCGTTGGTCAGGATTAATTGTCCGATTTCAGGGGAATGTCGTACCACGCCACGGGAATCACCTCGCAATTATAATTTCTGCTAATAAACGACCGCCTCGGGTCACTTGTCAGTTCATTGTTTGTACCTGTCAGCTCATTAATACGTTCTTTTCACCTTGAGATGATCCGATAGCAACCTTTACTTCGACCTGCTTGTTCACCTTTACAACAATAATAATACGCTAAAAACTTCCGATTTCCCCTCCAATTTGTGCCTACGCCTTGATCTTCACCTCCACTCCATCGCCACCTCCACCTCCATAACCATGTCCACGTCTACGATTACCCTCGAAGCATCCAATGAACAGCGCAGACGTCTACATCATGAGGCAGATGTAGTCATAGTTGGTGCTGGCGTTTTTGGTTGTGCTGCGGCGTTTGCGCTGGCAAAACAAGGCCGCAGTGTAATCCTCCTCGAACGATCGTTAAAACAACCGGATCGGATAGTTGGCGAACTACTACAGCCCGGGGGTGTTTCTGCGTTGGAGAAACTAGGTCTGTCGGATTGTCTGGAAGAAATTGACTCGGTGAGAGTCGTAGGATATGAGGTTATATACTACGGGAATCCAGTCTCAATTCCGTATCCTGCCAATGCGGGCGCGGCAGCACAGGGAGGTTTCAAGGATTCTAAGAACGAGAAGAGCACGCGACCGGAGGGAAGGGCCTTTCACCATGGTCGATTTATCTCCCAATTGCGCAAAGCATGCGCCAGCCAGCCAAATATTACAATCGTCGAGACAGAAGCAACCGGCACAATCACGAGTCAGCATTCTGCACAAGTGCTTGGAGTACAAACGAAGACTTTGAACCCTGAAACTGGAAAGAAGGAGAATGATTACTACTTTGGACACCTCACGCTCATCGCGGACGGCTATGCATCGAAGTTTCGAAAACAGTACATTGGAAAAACACCTATTGTCAAGAGCAAGTTTTACGCCCTAGAATTGATAGATTGCCCTATGCCAGCTCCAAATCATGGCACTGTCGTACTCGGCGATGGTTCACCTGTCCTACTTTACCAAATCGGCACACACGAAACTCGAGCCCTTGTCGATATACCTGAGAATACACCATCAGCAGCCGTGGCTGTTGGTGGCGTTCGCGCTCATATCAGAAATGTTGTACTTCCCTCATTACCCAAGCAAGTCCAGCCTTGCTTTGAAGCCGCCCTCGCGGACGGGAAAATTCCACCCAGTATGCCAAACAGCTGGCTGCCGCCTAGTACGCAAGTAGAGAAAGGTGTGGTGGTCTTAGGAGATGCAATGAATATGCGACATCCTTTGACTGGAGGCGGAATGACAGTTGTATTCAATGACGTTGTCCTACTGGCAAATCTTTTGTCTCCCGAACGCATCCCAGATCTGAGCAACACAGCAAAGGTCCAAGCAGCAATGAAGGAGTTCCATTGGAAGCGCAAAGGTCTCTCCTCCATCATTAACATCCTGGCACAAGCCTTATACAGCCTGTTCGCCGCAAACGATAAACAGCTCAAGGCTTTACAGAAGGGATGTTTCTCCTACTTCCAAAGAGGAGGCAATTGCATCGATGGTCCATCCGGTCTACTCGCCGGCATCATCAGACAACCAATTGTGCTCTTCTATCATTTCTTTGCAGTGGCCCTTCTTTCAGTATGGATCGTCATGAAAGATACTATGGGATCAATTCTCGGTTTCTGGAAGTTCCCACTCGCAGTAGAAAAGAGTCTTCTCATCTTCTGGAAGGCCTGTATTGTGATTTTCCCATTCATTTTCAGCGAGCTGCGGAGCTAGTAATATAGGTTGGAGCGGCTTAGAGTGGGATAATCTGTAAGATTACATATTGCTTTTTGGTGGGCAGACTGTTCGTTGGTATGATAACTAGGAGCATGGGATTGGCGTTGCGAGATGGGTTTGATTGAGCCTACAGGGTTTTACTCGGTCGACATGCCTTCAATATAATCATAATACCCATTCATAGTTGCAATTGCAACTTTTCTTGATCTTTGTTCAATATCTTGTGCTTTTTTGCTTCAGTGTTTCTCTAGTCTTCCGGCATTGGCCGATATGGGTCTGTTTGTTTGCTTGTGACTTGGCAACGGGAAGCACCAAGACGAAGTGTGGAGCTCTTACATAACAGCTATCGCGATAGCTTCGAAGTCTAGGTGGAGAGTCAAAATTTTACCCATCCTGCGGCGAATTCGCTGAATTCGCTGAACTAGGTGGCCAGACTTTCAGCACTTTATCAGATCGAACTAAAGGCTTAGTGCGAAGTCTAATCCATTATCAGATGGCGCTAATGTCCACTATTCGTCCTCAATGTAACTATCACGGCGCACCCCACTCAATATGCATAGGTTTTTCCTCCTTATACGATGTTTATAAGCCCAGAATCCTCCCAAGCATACTTGATGGCATACAAGCTTCCTCAGTGGAGTATTGCATGACTGAGCGAATGCGTCTTCGCTTTTATTGTCCCATCTCGTACATTTTACAGTCCACCAGACCCTCCACATTATTTTTAATGAGTTGGTCAGTGGCTGTCAAAGATGGCCCGGAAAAGTACAATATGCTGGCTATCCCCTTCCCCACACTCTGCCAGAAACACCTTTCGATAAGATCTTCACAGGTGTGTCTCCAACAAAGATGTATTTCATACTTATATTTCTCACTTATTTCTCCTCCTTTACCGCAGCCGTCCCTTCAGACTGTCTCAATGGCATCGAGGAAGCACTTTCGACGTTCGTCTTTGCTGAAGCGGTAACCCCCTTCCAAAGCCTATGCCAAAACAACCTGAGTTTGTTTTCTATGTGGGCAGCAGCTAAAGTTTATTGCATCACCGAGGAACAGATATCTGCTGGGGAAGAGTGGGCACAGGTCTACTGTACCGAAGTGGGATATGATCTTCTTGTGCCTTACGCGACAATTCTACCCAATCTTACTGATGATGCTATTGCTGCTCTTCCGGTGGTCGACTTTGTTGATAGGCTTGATACCACGCACGTGTGGAATACTTCTGTCCTCATCTCGGAGGCGCTGTATGATACCGGGAAAAGAACAATTGTAAGTGCATGCGGACATTGTAAGGCTTGTTACTAATTGCGAGTAGGTCGTGTTTAATGATTCTGTGAAGATTCACAAGAAATATGGGTTAGTACCTATTCCTCTTGTAGTCACCATTCTAACTTAGTTTCAGATGGGGTGTATATGGCTTCTGGGGCTGCATCCTATTCATCGGTATCATCAACCGTCTCGTCAACGTCCTCCTTTCCATGCGCAGTAGCAAAGCTTTCGACCACCAACGCACCATCGAAGAACAGTCTGCTCCACGCAGTCACTCCATCGTATTTTCAAAGACCTATCGCTGGTTCCAAGCCAACCTGATTCTCCCACCTGCCATTGGAACACGCCACCAGCGCCATGTCTTCGGCTTCACAATGCCCACTCGTATTGTGACGCTGATAGTCATAGCCTACTATATCTGGTCCATCGTCATCTGTGCCGTCTCATATGATGTCTTCTTTCCCAACTTCTAGTATGTTACCCCCTTTTCCCACCAAAATCTTCTTACACCATCTCTCTTGCTAGCTACAACGACTACAGCCAAGGCTGGCGCTACGTCGCAGACCGAACTGGCATACTCTCCTATGCGAATTTACCTGTAATGTGGATATTTGCCGGACGAAACAATATCTTCCTCTGGGCTACAGGCTGGGACTTCCCTACATTCAACATCTTCCATCGGCATATTGGGATCGTGGCTACTGTGCAGGCGATTGTTCATGCTGTTGCTTATACTGTTGAAGAACTCGCAGGTTAAAGGCCTCGTACCCTAAAGTTACAGCATTGATGCTAATGTTTGGGAAGATCTTGGATATTGGGATGATTGGAAGGATCAATACTGGTACATGGGCGCCGTCGTACGTTCCCCATCCCCTTCGCACTTTTAGAAACTGACCACAGTAGTCCCTAATAACAATGTCTCTCATGCTCGTCTTCTCCTCATCTTTCCTCCGCCAAAAGTCCTACGAGCTCTTTTTAGTTCTCCATATCGTCCTCGCACTGGTAACACTCATTGGTCTTTTCTTGTAAGTCTTACATTAACCTTTGACACGCCCCTTCTCGTCTCCCAATCCTCTCCCTAACCCATCCCTTACAACAGTCACACAAAAATCTTCAGTGGCGAATACGAGCCCTACCTCTACCCCATCGTCGCAATCTGGTGCTTCGACCGCCTCCTCCGCCTCCTCCGCCAACTGCACCTCAACATCTCCCTCGCATTGCCCACCCCCTCCACGACCCACTCCACCACCGAATACCACGCCGCCGCCAACCTCCTAATCCTCACCATCACCCTCCCGGCCAAACGTCTTTCCAAAAAGCACCCAAACAGCCACTTCTTCCTCTACCAGCCTTTCCAGTTCCGCGGCTGGGAAAACCACCCCTTCACCGCTGTCGTGAGGGATGAGCGCACAATGTGTTTCTACATCAGACCGCAGGGCAAGTTCACCGCGCGCTTGATGCAGAAGAGTCATCCGAGACTTATCGTCGAAGGGCCGTATGAAGGCAAGGGTGTTAAACTACAGGACTACAATATCATTCTCCTCGTTGCTGGCGGGAGTGGCGTTAGTGCCACGATTAGTTATCTGAAAAGTTTTCTCTACATCTCCGAGAATGAGAATGCGAATCCAAATATGATTGTGGGTGTGGGTCGTGATGTGGGGAAGAAGATTCGGTTTTTGTGGGCGGCGAGGGAAGAGGCTTTGGTTCGCGAGATTGTGCAAAGGGAGCTTTCGACCATTACAAATACAACGGGTTGTAAGATCGAGATCGAGATTGAGATTTTCGTCACGAGTGCCGAGGCGCAGGTTTGGGGGCAGCTGGATGAGAAAGTACTTGAACGGACTGCTGATAAAGAGGTTGCAAGTGGAAGTGGAAGTGGAAATGCTAGTGATAATGAAATCGGGCCTAGGAGTGAGAGCATAAAGTATCATTATGGGCAACGCCCGGATTTGGAACAGGTCATTGGGCAGGCGACTGAAGAGGGCACGAGGACAGCTGTGGTTGTCTGTGGACCGCCGGGGATGGCGGATGAGGGGAGGAGGATTGTGCAAGGGGCTGTTAAAGGGGGGGCTAGTGTTGAATTCTTGGATGTTGGATTTACATGGTAAGTTAAAAGACTGAAAGGTTTTATGGTTGAAAAGTGCAGTGTCCTTGATCTGGAGGTTTTCCAACGATTTGTTTTCATCTACTGCAGTAGATACTAGATAAACATAAGTACCCTCGCCATGAGAATGGATTAGCTATTTAGATATATATATATACTCTGTAATCCTATATGTAAGAGAGAAAGCCTACCTTTCAACATTCTGCCATAGAAGAAGTAAGCAGGAGTACAGTTGCAAAGAAACCTACTCTGGTCTTTGCAGAGATTACCTTACAGCTTTATAGCCTGCTGCTGCTTACATGCATGCGAGATCTTCGCATTCCTTTGAATCCCATGGGACCTCATAGCCATAGATCAGAGCCGCATGTTATACTCCCCTCCCCTCTACGATACAAGTAGCCATGTTATTACCTACCTACTCAAGGCCGTCTTCTTTCCCTACCTCATACTCACAGCCCCTTTTCTCGCTAAGGCTGCCCAAAAGCGATTAGTTCCTAAACTCAGTCCTGCGGGAGCGAAAGACATGTTCTAAAAGTCCTCCCCGCCGCTTATATGGCGTGCAGATAGATACAAGGTGTCTTTGTGCTGGTTAAAACTCACCCTGGGCTCATCACGTTGAGCGTTTCTCAAGCTGGGGTTCTAAGATCGCCATCGGCGCGGCCCTATTAGATTGATCGCATGATCTCGCACACTCTGCAACTGGCTCGGTCTAGGTCTTGGTCTTGGTAGCACTAGGTGTGATTGATGGTGTCTACCTTGCCATAGATTCAATACAAGAGATATAATTTAGTTTAGGGGGGGGGGGGTGAGGTTATACTATGTGGCGGGCCAGAAGTGTGGGACTATGGGTAGAGTTATTGGGATTTGACGGCTGTTTGAGAGGTGGGGGGATGTATAGGCTTATTGATAGATGTTGTTGTTTATCCTCGCTGGTTTTGACAGTAGGACAGGCCGGTATTTCGACATGCTTTAAAGAAGTAACGGGGTTAATTGGAGTTGTGTTTTGGTGGATTCGCTTCGATCTGAGTATGTGGATTTTTTGGTTCTTATGTGCTTGCCTTCTTATTAAATAGCTCAAAAGATGTAAGCGGTGTTTCAACCTCTTTACACCGTATATTTTAATCCGTTGCTTATTACATTCGCCTCTATTGATTGATACTGGCGTGCAAGCTCTCGCGTCTCTTTCTAACCTTATATATATCATATCTAGGCCTAAAATAACAATCTCATAAAACGAATAGTAATCCGTCACCTCGATCTCAACTCCAGATATAGAGAGAACAGCCAAGCTATACATTCCTAAAGCCCCTACTCCAATTCTTCTCCCTCAGCGTACTCATCCGACTAGAACTAAGTCCGGATCCCTCGAACTAAGTGGGGGACTGAGCGGCGGAAGCGGAAACTCCTGTAGCGTTGAATCCCGCAAATCAGGATCCACACCCACCTCATCAGTCTGCAGCCCCTTGAATCGATTCCTCAGATCCATATGCTGGTCGTCCAGCCGTGCATGTCGATTCTCCACTTCCACTTCCACATCCGCCTCCAACGGCAGCAGATCTTCATCCCTGCTATCTCGTTCGCTCTCCAACCGCTGAACCCGTATCACGCTTGAGGGGTGTCGCACTTCCGGGGCGTAGAGCTCGTATACTGCTGGGGCTTTGACCATTGCTTCTAGTTCGCGGGGCGAAGACACAGTGGAAGAAGAGCCGCCTATGACTGAGGATTGGGGGCGCGCGCCGATACTGCGGATCGAGGAGCTCGAGTCGAAGGAGTAGCGGTTGCGGTCTGGTGGGATCCATTGCGGGCGCCGGTGGATCGTTGCTGTGTCGTCGGAATCGTCGCCGCGGGATTTTTCTCATGGGTAGTTAGTATAATTAGCCAATAAGCAAACTGGCTGGTCGATCGCGCTGGGCAGGTTAGCTGGATTGAAGAAAGAGAACGTACTTTTTGCTTGAGCTTGACTTTGGTCTTCTTTGAAGGTCCGTGGAAAGCCGCTAATGGAATAATCATCGCTCTTCTCGAAGCGGATCTTCATGTTGATTATGGGCGCCTTGCAAGATATACGAAATTTGATCCCCGGCATTTGGAAATGGAGGTTGAAGATCATGTTGTCGACGATTTCTGAAGTTAGACCGAAATATCTGAGCTCCTTGGTTTGCTCTTGGATTAAAAAGCCAGGACTGCCGAATTGACCGTCTTGCAGCAAGATTCCAATCTCCCGGACCTCTGGTGTGTAATCTGATAGACGGCAGAGAATTTCTCCTGCACGAGGAAGAATGTCAGTGTCACACACTTGACGAGTTTGGTAAACGTACCCTTCAAGAACAGTTCCTTGTTAGGTGTTTCCTCAATCTCGCCATCAAAGTAGAAAAATGTGGCAAATATCCGAGAGGCCAATCCGCGTATCTCACTCTCATCGATGCATTTCCGCGCCATATTATGGAAGAAGTCGAGACTGTCAATATCGTTCGAAGCTGGTACTTCTGGCACTTTTACATTCAAGTGTGTGAAATTACTAGTTGGGGCATCCACGGGTAGACTATTGAGGTAGTCGTCCCAGATCTTCTCGTGGCGTTCCTCAGCCGATTGTGAGTGATGCTGTTTCTGCTTCACCCTCAGAATATCTTTTCTGGACTTCACACTCGGGTTCCTGCTGCTAGGTCTGTCAGATGGTAGAATTGTTTTGTCAGCTGTCCCAGTGCCGATCCATAATAGTAAGTCAGGATAACTAGAGGGTGCATCACGCCAGATTGCTTTGTATTCTGTGTCGGCCATAATGATTGGGTTGCTGACGTTAGAGTTTTCGTGCGAATACACTTCATTCGAAGACTTGTGGTTAAAAGGGTTGAAGAAGAGCTGGTTTGACATTGAGGCGCGCGCACTAAAGTTTGATCAGTCGGGTCTGTACAAAATGGATAGCGAACTCACGCTTCCCAAAGTCTGATTTCATTCTGTGTGTTCTCTGGTCTAAATAACCTGTGTGCGGCTAGATAAGATCAAATTAGCATCCAAATCCGTGCGGATAATTCTACTTGAGAAACTTACGATATGGTAGACTCCGTCGATTGTAATTGGGGAATAGGGTAGTCTTGCCGTTGGACGAGATAGCAGAAACAGCAACTTTCGTATGAGTCCCAAGTTTACCAGCATTTGACCCCCCAAACAATGGCTGAGATTCCGAGAACGCCTCTTTAAGAGCCTTTTCGAGGTTGGCTGAGCCGTATTTGGATTTAGATGACCTTCCTAGACGTCGGTGAAAGTTTCGAAATCTATGAAGACTATCTCCGACAAAGCCTTGTTTGCATATTATCGAAAAGCTTTCCTCGCATTCATTTATCGTCCAGTTACTGGCAAAAATCGCGAGAGCAGGTATGCTACCAGACCTATCATCTTTCATTAGTCGCAGTGCGGTCGTTTGTCTGAGATACATGTTCACCCGTTTCCGATGACTAGGTCAAAGAAGAATCTGACAGGAATTCTAAAGTTGAACTCCTTTTCCAATAGGTGAAGAATTTCTAATTGGATAAGACCCCTGATTCCGCCACTGCACAAATTAGTAATGTCTCAGGCCTTGCAGAAAATTTATACGTACTCGTCTAGTACCAGTATTCGAATACCCGCAGCCTCTGGTTTGAAGTATATCGATTGTGGTTTGCTTGTTTCATTCGGTTCGAGGGGGCATTGATGGATCTCCACCATCGTCCGGCTGAATATCTGCCCATACTCTCTGACGCAGGATGTACATAAAACATGACCGCATGATAGAGTATGCTCTGGAGGCTCAAAGAGACAACACCAGCAAACCGTGTGATCACTGAGGTTGATAAACTTGTTCTCTTTGCCGGATTCGTGTAAGAAATCCTGCATGTTGAGACGATGCAAGGAAGTTGCCGCGGCCAGTTGTAGAACCTGTTTGTCGTTACCCGGTAGCTGACTGAGAAATTCGCCTAGAATATAATATACACGGGCATGAAATTTGTCCCTATTATTTTCAAACGTGAATTTTGATGTATAGTTTCCTCGGGACAAGATTCGGCCATCTGAAAGTTGATGCCCTTTAGATCCATGCCCGCATCGCATATTCGCACAGCGGTAGAAAAAAGTGTTGAATTTCAAATCATTCTGGTATTTGTACGTGCTGAGATCATACGTGATGTGATCTGGTTGAGTACGGATAACGAACTCGCAGGGCCAATGCCGGTCGCAAAAAGTGCTAAGTGCATAGTCCAGGTGCTTTATATATTGTGGAAATATGTGATTCGCAATTCCTACTTTCAGTCAGCTATACCTCTGCCGCTATAGGTCTTCTGTTTGACGTACCTAGAATTCTGTGTCGTGCAGCATCTAAGAGAATGCAGGATGCGACTAAACGACTCAACCTCTCGAATATAGCTCGAGCGTCTGGCGTTTTCTGTTGATCTTTCAAGGCGATTGCCAGTTTCAGAATACTGCCTCCAAAATTCGCTGGAATGGGATTGAACAGAAAAGATGCTTGCACAAAGTCAAAGGGAATTTCAAGAGTCCGGGAATAATGATCGAAAGCATGCTGAAGATAGTGCTGCAAGCTGTCTTCGTCAAGTAGCATTCGTAACTCGGATTTTCTCTCCCTGGCAACTTTACATCCAAATGTAATTTCCGTGTAGAGCTTCTGAGCTTGGTCGAGGACTAGCTTAGGTTCTGTGTCGACTGGGAGGTGAACGACCTGGGACGCATGTCTGATTAGTTGATCATTGTCAAAGAATCAAGCTGAACAGCAACTACATACCCTAACAGAGCTATAATAGCACATCATTAGATCCTCGACATTCTCGAGAATTCGGCCTCGTGCTTTCCAAGATTTTGCATACTCAGCGAAGACAACATTCCGGTTCAGAGTTTTGGACAAGGAGTCAAGGAGCGCTTCTGTCGCAACATCAACATCCCACAAGCTTTGTTGAATATTTGCGGGGGTACTATTCAAAACTATGACTGCATAAGGGAGGATAGGGTGATTGTATGATGCCTCTAACGCATCGGTCGCCCACTCAATGAGCTTCTCCAGAACGCTTTCAATTGTCCTAGAATCGTATAAGTACAGTTTCGACGTACTACCAAAGGAGATGGTAGATACCTCGGATTTCTATGGACAAAAATGACAACATCAGAGAATGTAAATAGCAGGCGCGGGTAAAATTTAGCAACGACGAATTGCCGTGTCCGTTCTAGTGGGGATTTAGCCCAGTGAAGCTCTCGTTTGGACGAAATCTGATTTGAAACGGTCTCTCTATTGTCCCCCTCGGTTTCGGACTCGTCGCGCTTGTGCCGAAATGTAGTTGCCATGGGCTCTCTTGCCCCACCATCGATACCCTCGCAATCTGCATACAGGATCGGATTAGTGGATAGAGAGGAACCTGGATCCAGGTACAGGTGGACGTCTTCTGAAGTAGGGACATCTTTTCCAGGCAATCCCGCTACCGGGCGATGGAAATTGAGTCCTTCTGCAGAATCTTTGATCTGGATCAGAAGCTTGATGAGTGTACTCTTTCCAGCACCAGTCTGACCAACAAATGAAACAAGACTGGGGGCTCGAGGATTCGGGAATGGGAAATCATCATATATCTCTTCGTACACTGAGCTGGTTCGCTCGTGAGACTTCAAATAAGCATTCGTGGCTGCCATAAGGCCAGAATATCTCCCATAATCGTGGAAGTAAAGTGGGCTGTCTTTCACGGACTTCCCTACCCCTATTACACTGAATTAGCCTATAGCTATATTTCAAATCTCAAGTCACCTACCAAACCATGCCGCGTCTTCTTCGGCAGCCAACCATTTCTCAAGACTTTTGTCGTCCGGTGGATTTGAAAAGGCCGGCTGGACTAGCCTCACGACGGAAAGGGGAATTTTGACGTGCTCAGCAGGCTGTGATGCTTTTCTTTTCGGTTTATGTACAGCCTGTGCTCTCCAACAACCACCGCAAAACTTCCACTTACAAGCCTGGCAAAAGAATAACTCGTCGTCGTACTCATCGCAGACATCACAACCGTCAGCATCACGCTCATCTGTCTCTTCTCCGTCATCATCCGGTTGCTTGATAACTTCCCCTAAGAGGGAGTATATTCTAGGAGTTGGCCCGCTGGGATTCATCACCAATGCGTGGCCGTTCATGAATTTCATGAATTTGTACGTGGATGAACATTTGCCACGGTAAGTCGGTGGGTGGTTAGGCTGGGCCTTTTATGATACTTGAAAGAAAGAAATTCCAAGTTCAGATTCGGGCGTGCAACGGGCGTTTCTTTTTCTGACACATTAGTTTCTATTGGACGCCTGGAATTGACGTGCTCGATGCCTGAAGAGCAGCATCGCTCACGTGATGTGAGACGGCAACAAATTTTAGAACCAACGTCTTTGATCCTTTAAGTTACCTGATTTGCATAGACAGAATCAGAGAAGACAGTACCCCCAATATAATGAATGCAACAGAGCGACTATGGGCATTTGGCGTAGAGAGCTGTAGAACACCCAGCAGATTTCCTCTGCACGGCGGTATGCGGTGTACTTCCACAGTTCCTCACTCGAGTACTGACACTTGCAGAATACAGCTATAGAACTATCGCAGCTGGGAGCAAAACCACCTCAAAACTCAGATAAGAGGAGATCCAAACGTGCTGGTCATTGGGTTGACCTGCCAAAAACAGCAATCACGACACATAGGTCAAGCTGTGCCGTATATTCGGGTGCAGTGTTTGCCAGGATCGCAAGCCTCACGTTACCAAAGGCAACAAGGAGGCTCGTTTAACTCTGCCATTCAATGGTGGCGTTTGTGATGAAATGAGGGAATCTGATGTGCTTTCGAGGTCGTTGATCAACGCCGCCTACCGAAACCATATTATAACGGTCCGCCGGCAATATCCCGCTTTCAAGACATGATTCTGTACAGCACAAACCCAGATGATCAGCAGGAAATACAAATACATACCTTTTGAAGCAGATTCTCTCTTTTCTTTTTCTTTCTCTTTCTCTTTCTCTTCCCTTCCTGAGAACTTGAGTGGTTTGAAGCCTAGGCTCGTCATTAGGGATACGATGTTGCCATCGCACAGCGCTTTCAGGGCTGTCATTGGGGGGTTCTCACGACCCATGGCACTGCACTCCACTCCAACACAGAACACGTGCCCCTTCACCCATCCCATCTCATACGCACGCATGCCATTGGCCTTACAGTCTTGCTTAGGTGCATACGTAGTCAGCTATCAAACTTTGCATCGTGTAAAAGTTCAAATAGTAACGCTCCTAGAGGAAGTGGGGAAATACCTGGATTAGCACTCTCCACACGATTACCCCTCCACCTACCTGCCTACCTTCCGCATTCAACTCCTCTCCAAGAAAGCCAGGCATCAAGCCACTTGAAACTGAAACACCTCAATAGTTCCATGCAAACAGGTCGATTCTATACCAACCCGTGCATGATAAACATCCCTCCCTCTACATCTAACTAACCCACCCTCTCCAGAATATAATCAGCAAAAGCGACGACCAAAAGGGAGCGAAAAGCAAAATTCCACGCCTTACAATAATCAGTAGAACAACCCAAAGCCTTACAAAAAAAACGCCGCCCCACGAGTTTCCAACCCAATGTTTAGTTCCAGGCGCACCCACGTCCCATCCACAGTATATAATCCAGCCCGACAGTGCGAGACCAAAGTTCCAAGCTCGCCCGCCCGCTGCCCGCCCGCTTATTGTTACTCGGTACCTTTAGGTCGGTCGATTGGAAGCCACATGAGAACCACATGCGAAAGTCAAACGCCTATCTATCATTCGTCTATTATAAGAGAAAAACACCACGCCAACCACACGGCCACGTTCTGCAAGTCAGTCAGTCATAAAGTCATAAAGTCATACTAAAGTGCTGTACTGTAGTCGACACGCACGAAACTCCCGCGTTTTGTTGCTTACCATAGGTAAGATTACTATCTCACCTTACCTTACTATACTTTTACATTTCCGTTTATTTATTTATTGGCAGTAGCTGGCTGGCTGGCTAGCGGCGCTTTATTCGATGCTCGTACGAAGTAGGATTGATTGGTTTGCGAATACTCCGTAGTTTATTACGATAAGCGATGTAGGGGAGGGGAGTCTGGAATTAAGTAAGACTCACATGAGATTTATGGTTTTGATAGGGATAAAGTAGTAAGTACTGTATGGACTAGATGAAGCAAGCCTCTTTGTTGAGACGAGACGAGACGAGATTATGGGGTTGTACGGAGGAGCACTGGACTGGTGGTGCATCGGCGGGTGACTGCACCGCACCGCACCGCTTCGTTACTGTACTGTACCCCAGAACTTCCAACAGTATCTTATGTTGTGAGATTGCGCAAGAAAAGTAATTAAGCATAAGTGGAAGAAAGGGATGTCTCATCTCATGTTGCAGTTGGCCAAGCTTGGAACATCACTACTCGAATGGTGGTTCTGAGGAAGAAGAAGAGTCTCTTGAGAAGTCATTCATTTCATGTTGTGAAAATAGTTATCCAGCGTCTTCTAAAGCAATTATCACCGCGTGCGCCATGTCATCCATCCCCATCGCTTGTTCCTCTAGCCCAGACGCGTTTCTAGATAACTCCGTTGCAAAATTCCCAAAGTCATTAAAACAAGTACAAGGAGCGTGCACACTCTACCGTCCACTAGAATGATCCTCGGAGAGATACCCTATTGAGACGCATAGTAGAGGCAGTGTAACGTTCGGCTCGTGAAAGAATCATCGTGGTGGTGGCATGGCTAACCCGCTTCCAGAAACATGTAGCATACCGTTTAAATCCAAACGCCGTTAGACAAACTTCATCCAGATGAAAAAGAAAATACGACAAGGAAATATATGTGTGTAGTTCGTGAAACCAGAATATATCTTGTAAGGTGGATGCGCTGAATATTTCTGTGCGCTACACGTGTACCATCTGGACATGCAGAGATATGCAGGTTCGCGAGAAAATTGGATGACCCATGGGAAATGGAAGTCAAAGATGCTTCGAGATCCTGCTAGTCCAATATTCTACAGCGGGATGTCGTGCATCTGCACCATCCCGCCTCACATGCTCATAACGAGGTACATAGTGAGGTTCCGTGGAACGTGTCTGTCGAATTTACTGAAATCATGCTACGGTATTGGCGTTGGGTTTTTTCCCTAGAAGGCTCCATCTTGACTTCTTCGATGTCTGTTCAACCGGGCTCACTGCCGCCGTGGGGGGGTTTGTCACAATCGGGGGGCTGTCATATAAGGGCGCTTCGCCGAGTTTTCGTGTGGTACTTGTGTGCAATCGTGAAAATATATCTTTCTCGGGGAAGACAGTGCCTTGTGGTAGCGACATGCGGTTTGTACTTTGGGAGTGCGAGCCGGTCCGAATGCTGTCAGGCCGCTGGGGGATATGGTAGTTTCGGTTGGGTCCAACTGAAATTTCGAGGTTGTCGGAAGAGTCGGAAGTGTCACTGTTGCCAGACGAGAGAGCGGGGGTGACATCTGCAGTTCTGTTAGTGGGTGGTCTGTGAATTCAATATAGAAAATTCATACCTTCGCTGTGCATATTCGAAGCCAGAGGAGAAGGTCCAGCACTGGGTCCAACGCCGGGATCGTGATATGAGTGACCTCTAGATGGCTTGTATCTCTTTTGGACAGGCTCATGCGTAGTATAACTATCCACGCCTCGATCAAACCATGCCGGGTTGTAATTGTTGTAACTGCCACTTCGTGGCAAAGGAGCAGGTCCAGTGCTAGGCCCGGCAGAATTAAGATGAGAGGTGGTTGCTATTGAGAGAGAACTTGTTGCCCGGGTGCTTGGCATATGACTCCTCCGCTTGTGCTGTTCCTTGATCTTGGGACGATCCTCGTTTCTCCATGTTGCTGGGGCACCGTTTAGGGCATCAACGGCTGCGTGTGTTGGTACATGTTTGTATGGCACCTTGACGTCCTTGTCCTTCTCTGCGACCTTGGCTTTGTGCTCCTTCGCGGCCTTCCTCGAAAGCGAGATCTTTGAAAATACCGACATTTTGGTTGATGGGATGTAGAATTGGGTTGGGGTGAATGGAGAACTTGGGTTGAGAGAACGAAAGAGTTGGGACTGGGACAGCCAACTTATTTATCGATGTCAATGTTGTACTAATAGATTGACTTTACAGAAGGCGTAGCCGTTTTGCTGCTTTCGAACGCGGGGTATGTAAGAATTGCCTGTTTTCCTGGAAAGGGTCGGTTCTAGCTTTTGATCAGATCGGAATAATAGGGCTAGACAAACGTCCACCCGCCGCCACGTTTGCGGTAGACCCGGCCCGTCTTAGAAATAGACTTCCACGAGACGTTAAACGATTAGGCCTCAACGGTCTTTCCTAGATTCGACTCTAGTTGCCAACGGCGTAGAAAGTCTTACCGACAACCTAACTATCGGAGAGGCGGGGCCAAACTATCGAAAACCCTAAAATTGAGGTTATAGTTGATAGAGAGAGTATGTTCCTAGGCAGAATTCGTCTCGAAGGATAAGTAAGAACTGGAGGAACAGTATGCTGGGGACTGAGGATGCTTTTAAAGGAGAAATGTCTGGTTCAGGATTAATAAGGGTGAAGGAATTTGATATGGATTTGAGAGATACGAGGTGCTTCGCGCTGGGCTCAAAAAAGACAAGGCACCTTCTGCAAGCAAGACTACCCTTAACCCCACGCACACAACGGCTCCCAAGTCCCAACCACATGTCAGCCGCGTGGGGCTAGAATTCGCCTTTCAGCTGCCTACTCTACCTCCGTAAGTTGCTCGGAAATGGTCACTGGGATTTACCGCATACAGCCCATGTCCTTCTCATGTAGCAGTGCAGCGATGGTGAGATAGCCTAATTCAACAAACCTTCCGTCTATTCTTGGGATGCCGTCACCCGTGTAGCTCAAGCCGCACATTTGGACGGTCCACGCCGGCGTCGTAGACTCGGAATCGCAGAGAATCGTGGGTTTCCAGATTCCAATGGTTCCAATACAGTACTCGATGGTCTGCATGTGCATGGATGAAGAATTCCGTCAAGGTTAGAATAAGCAGCGAATCGTTTTGTGTTGAAGCGGAGCATCAAGAATCTCACCAAGCTGAGGCCACCCACAGTGTTGGATATCAAGGTGGCCAGGATTTACGGAGTACGGATCGCGGAATGCGGATGGTGGCATGTTGGGAGGACAACTATCAGATTCGCTACTTGGACCCCTTCGTATTCTATTTCAGGGCACACCAGCAAGCAAAGTGTGACAAGAATTCGAAACGAACCCTGCGAGTATGAAATCCACAGCCCTATTTATCAGGATAAGCAGTGGGTTTCTTGTGCACTCTGCTGATACCAAATCACTTCTTTATTCGATGACGAGCCTTGGGGATCCCTCAATACAGCTTCGGTCGACGGTATCATGGGCATGATAATGCAGTATTATCTTCGGAACCTAGTAAGATAACAAGCTTTCGGGATCTAGAGTCTAGACTGATTCTATCAGAAGCTTGATGATTGCGGTCCCTATCTCAAATCTGGCTTCTGCTTGGTAAGTATGAGGTCAGATTTCGGAACCACATATGCTCCGGCACTTCGTAACCGTATTGTATCACCAAAAGAAATGCATGTCTCTATTATAGTACATGCGGCTAGAGAGCGAACCCAACGTGCGTTGTCAAACATGGCTGACATGCAGAATTGGTGCAAAGTTTGTGGCTGCTGCGGCTCCTGTCTATCCGTTCGTCTTGATTAGGACTTTCATAAACCGTGGGCTCTGTATCTCGTTTATAAGTGGTGGTGTTTCACGCAACAGACGTGATGGCTTGACGAAAAAGGTTATTTGGAATGCCACGTTTTCGTAGAAAAGGCTTCATTCAGCTCTGCCGAAATTGTTAAAGAGCACGTCAAGGAGATGCTTTAGGCAACTTTTGCGAAACTGTAGTATGGGAAGGCGGGTAATATTTCTCACGATCCTTATGACTGCAGATATTGTACGCGGACATAAGTAGATGTACATGAACGTATGGAGGTTAATATCAGAGTTGTAGAACTCCGCCGCTTCCTTGACCTTGGTGCATTACCGGGCTTTAATGACTATTAGCACAGACATTCTGCTCATTGATGTGTTGATTCTCGAGGTACTGTATAGTTCTCGTCCTCGTGCTCATCCTTATGCTCAACTCACAGATGCTTATCTCTGTTCCTTAGTCGGAGAATCGATATTCCTTGTCGATCTTGGATTACTTTAGGGATTACTGTGACATAGCGTCGATATGAACGAGCCCCGTTTAACCACAATACTGGCTTGAATCCCGTCCCGTCTTGAGGGTCCGCTTTGATAGACGGCTAACCGACGGCTCCTTTTCCATAATCACTCCTTTCGGCTCTGGTAGACTTCGTCCGAAGTTTGAGATTTGAGCTAAGTTTCAAGTTTCAACTCCTGATCTTCTCAGCCTCAGAACAAGCGAAGAACTGCAAATCATCGAAGGATTCTGCAGTTGTTCCGTGCTCCCGGCTATCAATGCTTGAAGACTGGTAGATAACTCGTAGATGATGCTGCCACGTGCTCCCTCAAATGAGATGTTTCTCTCCCCCTTGATCACATATCATATCAGGTGAAATTCAAATGGGTCTAAAGCTCAGGTCACACGGCAAAGCACCCAAATTGACGCCAACGTCTAACACAATATTATGCATGCAGCATTGTGGATTCATTTCCAGTGACAGGTAACGTTATCTTCGCCCTATCGACATGCGTTTGTCGGAGGCTGATCCAAGCCTCTGTATGCAGACAGAGAAGTCCTCGGCCTCTCATAAGGGTCCGAGGGGACGAGAGGAACATACATATGAGCTGAGACTTGAAGCGGTGTATCTTAACCTGCTGGTACTTCCGAGTTGTACTGGCACGTGTACCGCATGTAGAACTATATAGCTTCATTATCTCGGCATTTTGATTCCTCGATGAAGAGCGAAACCATCTGGGGATTCTCCGCTTAACGATTCCATTCTAGGTCGGTATGTGCCGTGGGGGAAAGATCGACATAAGCCCCATCCGTCAAGAATGAGGGGCAAGCTGAAGCTGATTCCCTAACGCGTGCTGGACAAGAAAAAGCGGCACCTATTGTCATCATCGAAATAATCTCCCACGCCGTCTGGCACATTGTAGATTGGTGCCGCCTTTTCTGTCCACCACCAGCCGAACACCTTGGAACTCTATCAAACACCACGGAGTTCAAAATTCAGTCCCAAGACGAGGTCGAACACACTAAAAGCGTCAATTCCAAAAAAGAATAACAGGTTAGTAATAGCAGATAAGAAGTATTATGGTAGAAGATTATGCTATCCTATATGACTAGAAGGAAGCAATCTGGGTTATATACTTCTCCCACTTCCACTTTAAATGCTAAGCAATATCAACTAAAACTATAACCATGTTATACTAGCTAGTACGAAGTGATCTAATTAGTTACCTTTAATACTAACAGATTCTAGATAAGACTCGACCGGCAGTATAGTAGTCATAACTTTACACGAGAACTACAATCTAAGGGTATATGGCCTGGCTATAATCTCAAAGCAAACTTGAGTGAAGATTTATTAGAAAGTAACGTAAATCCTAATCCTCAGACTCAGTCCAGGAAAGGAGAAAATGAGGTTATTCCGATCAAGCCGGTTGGGGCAATCGTTCACGGTACAGTAGTGTTAATCAGGGGTCGGCAGGCTCGTGACGGGCTGAATAAGCTGAACTCAAAGTATGCTATTCTGAAACGGAATGACGCATTTCCTCCGTAGTCCGCGGTTCGTTGGCGGAGACTTCTTCTCGTCCAATAAAACGCGTGGAGTACGGTGCAGGTCACGTGCGCAAAATCAACATCTTACCTGATCTAGAGACGCGCAAGAGGGGCAATTGTATCAGGCTTGAAATAACATGCTGTGTATACCATCTTATCGAATATCAAAAGTAACAAACCTCTCAAGGTCTTATTATCACTAACCTCGGCACCTTCTCTTCACATTGGTGGTGGCTGCCAGGCTGCCAGCAGCCAAGATCTCCATTTAGCGAGAGGCTCTTTTGCCAGCCAGACGGCAAACACCTCCGTGTCAAAGAACGCCAGCCCAGCGTCATTATTCGCACATCCCCTCGACGCCGCAAATACACGACAACGCGGAATCCACGAAGTACATGCCGGCTGCATTCAACTGATCGCTCGCTGCATCCGGCCCCTCGATACTCTTCGACCCCCCTGCCTAGACTCCGGCGCGCGCGACTTCGCCCGCAGCAATCGAAAGTGGCGCTCACGGTTCTCACGCAACAGGCGCCGCTCTCTCTCCAACAACAGCTCGAGATCGCACCAGATATCTTGAATTGTTCTTCTGAGCAATTAGACGGGGAACTACAACCTTTGATGATGGCACAAGCGGTGCCTGATCCTCCGCCGAACAACAAGAAGAGAGTCAAGGTCTATGAGTTGCGCAACAGCGACTGGTTCGATAGGGGCACCGGCTTTTGCCAGGCGGGCTATTTTATCGTATGTATATCTCCCAGTGGAATGGGACCTCCATGAGAACTTGCGCGTTGCCCGCATTGGCCATTCACGCTGTACATCTTGCAAGAGCCCTCGCTGACATGATTCACGTTTCTAGGACGATGCCACCCACCAGGAAACTCCGCGTGTCACAGTAGAATCAGAAGATGCACCAGCTCGGGTACTCTTAGAGACGAAGATACTCAGGGAGGATGGATTCCAGAAGCAACAAGGCACGTTTACTCGAGTAGACCGCTGTTATCTGCAAGGCTAACACATACCGACAGATACACTTATCGTATGGACGGAGCCTGCTACGGGCATTGATATGGCTCTTAGCTTCCAAGAAGCTGAAGGGTGTGCTGTCATCTGGTAAGAACGCCTAGGTCTTGCGACGAGAATGATTGAAATTTGAATACTCATTCGTCTGATTTACAGGAAGTTCGTAAACACCATTCAGCAGTCGTTCGTAATAGGTGGCCCAGGTACGTTTACACACAGACATGCTCTTAGTCTAGAACATTTTCTACCATGCACATTGAGAGTTGCTAACTTTGATCGCCTGCAGAGGATGCCTTAGACGATGACATGCCACTTGATCATATTACGAACTCGATCTCCTTACCGTCTCCCACACTTGGCAATTTGGATGTGGTAGAAAAGCAGGTTAGAGATTGCAGCATGACCAATGCCGGCCGCGAAGCTCTGATCAAGTTCGTCGTCACCGAGGACTACATAAAAGCGTTAATTCCACTGGTGGAAATGGCCGAGGATATGGAGGATTTGAAAAGCTTGCACCTGCTGTGCAACATCATGAAGACATTCATTTTGTTGAACGAGAATTCAATGATGGAGCTTGCCGTCAGAGACGATTTGATTATGGGCGTTGTAGGAGCTCTCGAATATGATCCGGATTTCCCAAGCCACAAGGCAAATCATAGACACTGGTTGAGTAAGGAAGGAAGGTACAAGGAGGTGGTGCGAATCGAAGACGACGAAATTCGGAACAAGATACATACAGTATATCGGTTACAATACCTCAAAGATGTTGTGCTCGCGAGGATCTTAGACGACCCCACCTTCTCTATTCTCAACGGCTTGATCTTCTTTCAGCATGTCGATATCGTCCAGCATATCCAATCGAACCCAGGGTTTCTAAAGGAGTTATTTGGCATTTTCAGTTCTGAAGAGACAGACCAGGAACGCAAAAAGGAGGCTGTTTTGTTTATTCAGCAGTGCTGTGCCATTGCGAAGAGTCTGCAACCGTCAGGCCGACAAACGCTCTTCAACAACTTTTTAGCTCACGGCTTGTTGTCTGTAATAACTTTCGCTCTTCGTCACAGCGATGTTGCGGTTCGGGTGGGGGCCACGGACGTTTTGGTCTCAATGATAGACCATGACCCCCAAATGATTCGCCAGACGATCTTTCGACAGATGGACGAAAAGCAAACTCCTTTGACAGACTCCTTGATCGATCTTCTTTTGGTAGAAGTAGATCTTGGCGTCAAAGCACAAATTGCAGATGCTATCAAAGTACTTCTCGATCCTGGCGCTCAAGCTGGGCCACTCGAGGGCCCCGGTAAGGGAGGCGGAGAGTTTGGTCCTAGGTTACGGCCTGCTCCGGATCCTCAGCAACAAGAGCTAGTCAAGAACTTTTACGATGACTCGGCCAAAAAACTCTTTAAGCCTTTGGTTGATTTGAAAGATCGAGGCAATATGGACTTCAGCGTTCACGAGGTTTCGCTGTTTATTTACCTGATCGAGATCCTCTGCTTTTTCGTTCGACAACATACACATCACAGCAAGTATTTTGTCATGTCCGAGAACCTAGGTCAGCGGATCTCTCAATTGCTCTTGAGTCCAGAGAAGTACTTGAAACTCAGTAAGTTTTCAGATCAGCTCGCAAGAAAAGTCGAGTCTAACATCCCATTTAGCTGCCTTGAAATTCTTTCGAAATCTCATCGGACTACAAGATGTTTTTTACAACCAACAGATGACTCAAGGAAAGCTCTTTGAGCCAATCTTGAACCTAATAGTCGAGACGATGCCACGTGATAATCTCCTGAATTCGGCATGCCTGGAGTTCTTTGATTTCATCAAAAGAGAGCATATCAAGATCATAATCAGTCACTTGGTGGAGAATTATCGTGACAAAATGGAGGACATTACCTACGTTGATACTTTCCAAAATTTTATCCTCAGGTACGACCAGACCCAAGGCTTTGCCCCTAACCTGGAAACATCATTTTTGGACACGGAAGAGGACACCCCAAAGAGAGAAACTAGAGGGAGCAGATGGGAGCATGGCATCAAAGACCTTGATGCTACTGAAGAGGAGTACTTCAATACGTCTGATGATGAGGATGATGTCGGAAAAGCTACCAGCCGACCCTCAATTAACGGGGCATCTCCGATTTCGAAACCCCTCGTCGATTACCCATCGGATGAAGAGAACGATATCATGGATACCGATGCCGGTGCGGTTGAAGCAAAGACCCCTCAAGCAAGTCCCTCAAAACATCGTTATAATCGGTCGCCAATTTCGGCGGTTCCGTCCCCTCCAGAGAGGCTTTCCGAGAAGCGTCGCCGTGAAGAGGACGAAGAGGATGAGATAGGTAAACTCTCGCAACCGAAACGCCGAAATTCGAGCAGTTCTGTCGAGTCCAACACAAGCAATATGCTAAGGAGAAAGAAGAGTTTCGCAAGCCACGGCGGCGGAGGTTCTGGTAGCAAGCCGAACAAAATTGCCATCAGCCTGTCACCAGCCATAAAAACCGGCGGTGAAGCTAATGGAGGAGAAGACAACAGTTGAGAAAGCCCCTTTTAGAGAGTGGGGGATCATTTTGCACAGGCACGACGGCGCAGGTGGTTGGAGTTATGGAGTCATGAAAGGAGTATTATGTTGATATACACAGGGTCCCCCATTTGGCTGGTTTTGCATGCATGGACACAGCAAAATGATTGGAAGTAGTGGAGGACGAAGAAACTTGCTACATGCGAATGCACACCTTGTATTATAGATGGGTGGGAGGATCTGGAGTGCACATGCGACAATGGAAGGAATTAGGTGAAATCAAGATACCGGGCTACGTAACGCTATATGGCGTTGTGGACTCAATATAACCATTTTCAGCAAGCATTTATTCTTATATGATGTAAACTTAATACTTCTCACCCTTGATTGTCTACTGAAGTGAAGGATAAGGCCGCTAGCAAATTCATAAGAGCTTCTCACGCCAGATATCCTGTCCATCCAAAGGGAATACATGGGAAGGAATTGAATTATGAGAATGAATAACTTAACTCCCAATTACGGTTCACTGATCCATTTACAAATCAGGCCCGGGGCCACTAAAAGAAAAAGGGGTTCAGCCTTCCACACAGCCTCGCGCCACAGGGGTCATTACCCGCTAAAGCGCCGGTAGCCCTTCTAAGCTTTTAAGATCACCGTGTTCATAAGTTAACACTGCATGCGCCTCGACAACACGACGCACCATCCCCTCTCGTTACCAATTGATTGTTCTTCCGGACATGTATTAATAGTTCTGCCCTCCCAAATTTTCATGCGCGCGGCGCTTTTCGGATGTTACGAGTACCAGCCAGGCGTTCCTTTTTCATTTCTTTACAGCCGCGTTGAACTTAGAAAGGTGTCCTGAAGCGCAATTGAGAGAGTAAGATGGCGTCCATACTGGACATTCCACTGCGGGTGCTGGGGACTGTGCTTGAGACTGCGAAAACAACACCGTTGCCTATACTGTTTCTGGTATTGTTTACAACGGCACTCTCTACGTTCGCTTTTGTACGCCCCTCTCAACTCTCTCTCTTTTCTCTCTACAAAACTGACCAAAGTACAGATTTATGTCCTCGTCTTCCTCCTCGCGCCCACACCCCGCGCACCATATGACTCGGAAAAAACCTACATTACAACCACGCCATCCGGCTCCACCACATCCCCCAAGCCACTCCCTTGCTGGCATGACGAATGGCTAGCCCACCGGCACGAAGCCGCGTCTCAAAAGGCGGAAAAGAAACATACTGGTACAATTGATGACGCGGAAGTGGAAGTCAGCGTCGTGATCCCAGCATACAATGAAGAAGAGCGCATAGTCATCATGCTCGAAGAAGCAGTGGAATTCCTCGATTCAGAATACGGGCGGTCTCCTTCGAAATCCAAGGGCAAAGGAAAAGCGAACGGGAGTGTGGCTGAAAGTGGGAAAGGGATCGGCGGGTATGAGATCCTAATCGTAAATGATGGGAGTAAAGACAAGACTGTGGATATCTGTTTGGACTTCGCCAAGACGAATAAGTTGCACGATATATTGAGGATATGCACGCTGAAGGAGAATAGAGGGAAGGGTGGAGCGGTCACGCATGGGTTTCGACATGTGAGGGGTGCGTATACGGTGTTTGCGGATGCGGATGGGGCGAGTCGCTTTAAGGATCTGAGGAATTTGGTGGAGGGATGTAAGAAGGTCGAGGATGGGCCTGGAAGGGGCATTGCTGTGGGAAGCAGGGCACATTTGGTGGGAAGTGAAGCTGTTGTCAAAGTATGCCCCCCTCTTCCCCATTTATCCGTTCTGAAAACGCCATCAAAAGCCGAACTCGAATGCTAAGAAAAAAACCAGAGATCGGCCTTAAGAAACGCCCTCATGCACTCCTTCCACCTCCTCCTCCGCCTCCTCACGCCCCCCGCCACCTCGCGCATCCGCGATACCCAATGCGGCTTCAAGCTCTTCTCGCGGTCCGCACTCCCGCACATCATACCCTACATGCACGCCGAAGGCTGGATCTTCGATGTCGAGATGCTCATGCTTGCCGAATCCGCACCCTCTGGTATCCAAGTGGCGGAAGTGCAGATCGGATGGCAGGAGGTCGGTGGCAGTAAACTTAATGTTATGTGGGATAGTCTGGGCATGGCGTGGGGACTGGCGTTGTTGAGGTTGGGCTGGATGTTGGGTGTTTATAAAAGGAGGTAGATGACGATGTGTGTGGTGATAGATACATGGGGGAAAAGGCAAGACTTTTTGGCTGTATATATATATATGGCTGGACAAAGGTATAGCGCCTGGATTGGTGCTGCGATGGGACATACATCTTATCTGGAATGAATACGGTGTTTTCTTCGGGCTGTTTTAGGTGTTCACGCACCTGAGACTGCTTCTAGGGATTGCTTGCGAGGTCTAAACCACTGAACCAAAATATTTGATATCCCTTTCTTGGAGACAGGTGCTCTAAGCTACCAAGATTGAGTGGGAGTAAATCACATGACCTAACCTCCCCCCTTTAAAGTGTACCCAGGTATAAAGTTACCAAGACGAAATATCTCAACGCTGAAACTTAGGCTACACCGCAGAGCAAACTTAATTCTAAGTTGGCCAACACTCAGCGCACTACGCTGTTCACCACTTGCAACTTGCATCCAAATTAATTGTCATATAGCATCATCGGTAACAATGGGAGACTCATCTGATAAGCGCGTTTGAGCAAGACTGAAACCTAGCTCCGCTCCTTTGCTTCGGATCTCAGATTGCAAGAGATTAAACATCACTGTAGCGTTGGACTTATCACGGATTGGATCAATGAGATTAGGGCTGCGTGGATGGCTATTACTACATCATCGGATGAGAGCAAGAAAATGTTTCAGTCGCTTGGCCGGACATGATACGCTGCGAAGATCATGTATCGGAACCTTTGAGCGAATGGGAGATAGATGGTAGGTGCTGGGAGGTCACAGTTACTACTGGCGAGATGGTTTGCAGGATGCTTCATTTGATAGATCTTTCCGACGAAGGACTTTCAAGTTACACATCGGGTCACGGTCTTCTGTTTCACGGTATTCAGGTAGGGATTGGGTATGATTGAGAACTCTGGCGGCTTTGAAACCAAGAACCATTGGTTATATGCATCTCTTCAATTTGGGTTAAATGCCTGATGTGATTATTGATTCACTAGTAAATCCATCTCGAAATCCTCATCCCGTCATACTCAAACCCAAGTTTCAAAGAAACGCTACTCACTACTATATGTAGAATTTTACGACTCCTCCCCACCAAACCTCAACCCATCACGTCCTCAGCAAGCGTCTTCTTCAATTCTCCAACGACAGCTGAGATAAATGATGCTTTCTGGAAGATGCGCCACTCTGTCGATGCCAAGATATTCGCCTTCAGCTTCTCCAAGAACTTTCTCTGCTTGTTCTTCAGCCCACCAATCTCTACCGCAAGATAATGTTCTGATTTCAACGACTTCGCTTCCTTTCTCATCAGCTCGGTTTTCTCGGTCATCTCCTTTCGTTCGTCTAGGATAGCTTTCAGCTTCTCATGAGTAGCTTTCAATTGTTTCAGCTATCAATCGGGTCTGGATTAGTGAATGTTTGTCAGGAAGGAGTGGATGGATATCGAACCTCTTCTATTTTTTCCTTGTCTAGAGCTGTTAGATGCTGACCATTCTCATCTACAGGAAGAGAGGGATCTGATCTTAACATATCCTTTGCAGAAGAAACTATCTGTCCCATGTGATGCACTAGCTCGGGGAATCGCTTCCGCTTCCTTCTATTCGGACAAGAGTGGCTACCCTAAAGTTCGCTGCTGTCAACTCTCTTTGAATCTTCATCAACGTCCATCACGCAATCGCTCATCCAAGTATCGACAGCAGTCAGAGGCGCGCTTTTGTACGGGATTGGTGGTCTGCACTTCAACCATGTGGATTCGAAAATCGACTTCGTACGGACACCCTCCATGCGACGCTCATCGAAGGCGAGGGTTGCAGCCAGCATTTTGATGCGGTATCCGACCTTTAGAAACGCTGCCTCAATGGGTGGCTTGGCTAAGAGCCGTCTTCCATTTGGGGTATCCATCAGATGGCTGGGACTTGGGTCACCTTATAGGAATTGAGTGACGATATCAACTGCCTTGGCGGAGTCAAGATCGAGGTCTCGAAATTTGATGTGGCTTAAATCGCATAAAATACTTGTTTCTTGGAGAGGAAGGAAGAAAGAGAAAGAAAGAAAAAAAGGGGGCTACATAGCTAAGCAGAAATATGGGGTGGTGTCACGTGCCGCTAAGCGAAACAATGAGATAAAGCGAGAGAATATTCATTGCGGTTGGCAGCTCAATTGACCAGTAAAGATAACCACGTCCTCTGGGAGGACCAAAAGGCTTTAAAGACCTTAGTCTCTACACGTTTCTCGACTAAGAGCTCACTTGATAAAAAACGAAGGCAATATTCTTACCGAAATAAACTACGCAAGAATGGACCACGTAGCAGCCATACTACCTCCAGCATTTAGCTCAAGTGTACATTATTACTACCTCGAGAGTTTGTCACTGATAAAATAAGAGCATAGCTGTCTTTGGGTATGTCTGTCCTTAAGCAGCCAGTCAAATAGAGCTATGATATTATAATCAGTATCTCCGTACGCTTTCGTGGCTGAAGAAGTTGATTGAACTCCTTTAGTCTCCTTGCCCATTTACTTGTTGATGCGTGTTGTAGACTCAGAGAGTTTATACGGAATGGAATATGGAACTTGGGTTTTAGATGTGTAGAATATAGCCCCCCTTGACGCTTGTCTTCTGCTCTACGGGGGTGACATATAATATGATTGTGGTTGAGGATAACGAAGATGGCCCTGGGCATTACAGTTGGGCCATTTTGCCCGTGCGTGTCTTATCATAACGTTTCACTTTCATGACTCGAAAAGGTCTTCCGAGGGGTAGAAGAGGAAAGTGATGTTGAGCGTTGTTTTCCTCGTCATCATGCTATGTACTGCCTGTTGATTATTATCCTCCATAAATTTGGTACAATGTGGCCATGGTTTTTGCCCGCCGTTTTAATGACCCTCGTTGGGTGCAGACCAATTCTTCTTCTTCTTATTTCCCCATTGAGATCCCTGGTCATACTCCACTTGCACGGAAATGACGTTCGTACGAATGATATTCCCTTCTCCCTGCGCCAATATGCTCTTGTCACTTTCATCGTCTTGTTTCCCCCCTACAACAGTTGCCCTTGAATAATCGTTATGCGGCTCTAGGTTGAGCTTGTGGTTACTGTCGGTCTCTCTGTCTACTCCGATATTGTCGAGATGATAGCTGCGCGTGCGCAGGCGGTTGGGGTTGTCGCTGTATGAGTGCGTAGAATAGCCTCGTATCCTGCTATATAAAGGTCGAAGACAAGGGATTGTTGCGGTGAGAATAGTGACCATAAGTTCCGTGGAAGACCAGAGGATCAACCCAATCGTATCATCTATGTGGGTTAGCGGATTTTTAAGCAACCAGGGAAATTGACCCACAAGAGTAATCAGATCGAGATGTTAATGATTCAAGTGCGATTGCTCGAATGATACCACAAACCATAGCGCTGTCCATCATTAGAGATGTGCATTCAAAGTATGCCATAAACTTACAAGAAACCAAGACTCATGGAAGCAGCGATGAGACGCTTCTCCTTGCGCTTCATTTGAAGATTCCACAGAATGAACCAAGGCATTACAGCGAGAACGAAGTCGGCTGCAGCAGAGAAACCTATATAAGTCAGCAGGTGTGGTAGTTCGATAGAGATAGTAATATTTACTTCCAGCGACTATGGACAGTGTTGCAAAACCTTCAGTTGAAACCCAGCATTTGGCATCAATAGTAGGATTCCAAACGTGTTCAATTGGGTTGCAACGAATGAAGTCAAAGAGAGCGTCTATGATAACAACTATAGTAACTGCAAACATTAAAAGGTATAGGACCATTTTATGCCATTGAATAATAGTAATTCGAAGGAGGAAGATTGCAGCCGAAGATTTGCTGGTCGCAATACCGATAATGCAAAACCTTGGTTCTGTTAGCAGTAGCTAAAGCATTTGCATGATCATATGGAACATACGTTTGACCAATAATCTCAGCTTTGGTTGCTGCTACAATTCCGTCTAGAGTGAGCTCGGTAGAATGTCTTCCAAAACCATGCGTAACAGCAACTGTGCATCCGACGGTGTACGGCATCAACATCAACTATTGGTAGCTCAGTCATTGTGTTCTCAGGATCGGAGAGAACATTTCTTACCCAACTTAATACAATGAGATAGTCATCCCAGCCAACAGTCTGTGTAATTCTGATCCGTGTCCACAGTCGCAAGCAGACGAAGAGAAGAGCAATCGCAGTTTCTAGCCACTGCAACGAATTAGCAACGTTTTCTGCAAACAACAGCCACCGAGATGACGAAACACTCTTCGAGAGTCTGAACACTGAAGAATAAGGAAGCAAAAGAAAGGAATGGTAGCTTACCATCACAGATAAAATAGTATGGCCATATCCCCCGATGTCCGACATACTGAGAACTTGCTGAAAACTCAAGCCTCAATGATGGTACTACAAGAAGTGAATGAGTTGGCATAGAACAGGTGAACAGATACAATGCATTCCCATATACGGTAGCTTAGACTGTTCAGCCTTCGAAAAGCGGGAGTGAGCTAGCAAGCCTAGACTTTAGTGCAGTCTACACTAATGACAGTCGGCTAGAGACGAGACGATTATCGTCAACAAAGGAGGAAAATCATCGAAAAGTGAAGCAGTTATAACGCTTCCCAATAACGAAATTGCGGGATGAAAGGTTTTTTAGTGTGAAGGAATTCAGTTTCCCATCAAAGCCATAGGGAATGAGAAACTATTCCTTGTTATACCGGGCTCTACGTATGTCCGAGAAATACTCTGCCAAATAAAGTCACGTATGTGCACCAAAATTCGCCGGTGCACGCCAATTTACTCGGCAGAGTATTTCTCGGACGTAGAGACCGGGGAACACAATGCCGGGCCACAGGTTTCACCCTAGACGCAGTTTTTAGGGATAGTGGCAAGGTATTGATTGGCTATAGCCTTAATAGCATTAAGACTAGGGTCTGAGCACCGTATCATCTTGACGACGATATACCCCGTACGTAACAATAAGGCAGAGAACTGTTAAGATACGTACTTCCATCCGTATCTGTAGCAAAGCTATGTGTATAATTATACGTCGAAGTAAATTACTCTTACCCTTCCCTCTTATATATCATAATCACCTTCTATTAATTCGAAGCAAGTTCGACACTTCGTATAATAAATTATATTTATAGAAAGATAGACTTTCGCATATAATAGCGGAGCTAACTTTAGTATAGAGCTTCTTGATTTACTTAGAGCTTAGAGATATATAGGAATGGTGGTTCAAGGCTTCTCTATACTCCACTCCCTTTAGAAGTGTTACTATTCTAAACAAAATATATAACACGTAATAATACATACTTGTAGAAGATAAGTAAGCGTACTAGAGTAATTTATAACATAGTAGGCGTATTATTAGAGCATACCTTGAACTTAATTTAAAGTTCCATGGAAGCATCTGGCTATCTTGTCTAATCTGGCTTAGTTACTTCCTGCATGCAAATCATTCGTTGCTTAGTGTAGAGAATGCTAGATATATTTTATTTATATAAAATATATGCCGCCTGAATATTAAATACCACTCGTAGGATAGCCTATCTGTATGCTTACATCCTCTATGCCTTTTGACCTAAAGCATGCCACTTCAATAGGTGCTAGGCGTGTACATTCAGAATTATTCAATACCGTATTAATTCACTTCTAGCATATCTTTTTACACGGTCTCGCTTAAGGCTATAACATACGTGGGGCGCGGGAGAGTGATAGGGAGGGTTTAAGATCCTCTTTTAACTTACTCCACTCTACTCATATGGACTAATCGGATAGCCTCCCGCAGCGGCTATTAAAGCGAGACTGTGTCAAGAGATATGCTAGAGGTGAATTAATGCGGTACCCTGTTATAACAACTAGCGTATTGCAATCATCGAGCAAGTTCCTTTTACTATCTGGTCGGGACTTTTACCAAGTTTCGTTTCTTACAAAACCTAGTTACAGTGCTGACGAAATGTTGCTTCTGTTGGTTGCTCTTCAGAGCCTGGGTGGTCTATTGTTGCTGGCAATAATCCAATTATCCTGGACATATTTTACAACCCCGCTTAAGAGCATTCCTGGTCCTTTCTTTGCCAAGTTCACCAATCTCTGGCGTTTTTTCGATACATACGGAGGACGACCAGAGCTCACTCACCAGCTCCTCCATAAGAAGCATGGAAGCGCCGTACGGCTCGGGCCTAATGTAGTCAGCATCAGTGATCCAAAATATCTGAGAGTCATTTACAATACACGGGGTGACTATCTAAAGGTATGTTTAAGCAGCCTCTTTAGCTAAAGAAAACTGACCCCTGGAAGAGCAAATTTTATACGGTTAACGATACGAAAGTCGGCAACCAGATCATTAAAAATGTCTTCAGTACCCTTAGCAATGAATGGCATTCCACAGCCCTGCGCCCAATACAGAAGTTCTACAAGATGTCTGCTGTGTTAGCCCAGGAGCCACTTGTCGACCTTACTATTCACTCATTTTTCAAGCATCTTGACGAGAAGTTCGTCGACACCGGCAAGGCGTGCAAAATTGACGAGTGGATGCTTTTCTTCTCCTGGGACGTGATTGCCCAAATGACTTTTAGAAGGCCGATGGGCTTCATGGATGAAGGTAGAGACCACTCTGGTCTACTTCACACGGCCGACAGGGCTCTTGACTACTTTGCAACAATTGGCCAGATCCCGGCGCTCGATCACTGGCTTGCCAAGAATCCAATTCGACCCATTGGACCCCCAAGTTTCGACTCAGCAGCCGTGTTTTGTGCTCAGCAAGTCATGGAGCGAAAGCAATCGGAATCAAACCCTTCACGCCAACCAGATATGTTGGATGGGTTCCTCGAGACACAAAAAGTGAACCCGGAGGCCGTCACTGATAATGATCTTATTAGCGCCCTCATCGTCAACATTGTAGCCGGTGCTGATACCACGGCCAGTCTTCTGCGATCAGTGATTTACTATGTCTTGAAGAATCCAAAGGTGCATAAGAGACTTCAGGAAGAGCTTGACAACGCCAATCTCGCCACACCTGTACCATATGCGACAGCCACTACCTTGGTATATTTTGATGCAGTTATCAGAGAGAGTGGGCGCATTGGTCCAGGCGTCGGACTCCTCCTCGAGCGTATTGTACCTCAGGGCGGACTTGCACTCTCTGATGGGAAACTCATTCCAGCCGGGACTATTGTTGGAATGAACCCCTGGGTTATCCATCAAGACAAGGAAGTTTATGGCGAAGATGCAGCATCTTTCAACCCCGATCGCTGGCTGCGAGATGTTGCATCGGGAGAGACAGAAGAAGACTTCCAAGCTCGTTTCTCGCGCATGAAGGCTACTGACCTTACTTTCGGTGCTGGCAATCGCATCTGTCTTGGGAAGAACGTCGCGCTCATGCAAGTGTACAAAGCTATCACTACTTTGTTCTTGACTTATGATGTAAGTTACGCAATTCTATATCTATAAGACGTACCACTAACGAGGATTTTAGATGAGTCTTGTGGATCCAAAGAAGGAATGGCATGTACAGAACTCGTGGTTTGTACGCCAATCTGACATCGATATCAAAATTCAGCGACGAAAGGTAACGAAAGCATAAGAGCCGATAATTTATACCACGAATAGCGTTCTTTAGTATATCAGAAGTTGTGTTTTGTAGATGAGACGGAAATACATGACAATATATCAGAATTCGAATAATGATAATCAAAAACTCCGGGAGGCGCCACCTCCTGGTATACCTGCGCGCAGTGACTAAATTACTAATCGCCAAAGTGTTACTGGCTACCGAAGGTATATGAGAGTTTCGATTAGGATTTTAAAATAGAGTCTACTAAGTCAGAGGCTTCGGAATCTCGCCGAGCTTCGACTGCTTTGTGCTGTTTTAAGGTCGTTCAACTGAATACCGAATGCATCATTGGCCAGATCTTAAGCTGTAACAAGAAGTGGCGTTTGAAAGGGACCTAGTAAGGAAGTGAGGTTGTCTCCAGGATGCGGAAATTTGTATTTACGGCGCTGCGACGGCTTAGGTATCAAACCTTATTTTCAGAGGAACACAACATAAACCTACCAGAAAACAATGGAAACAAAGACTTTCTTCTCGCTAAAAGCTACAATGATTCCAACGATCTTTTTTAGAGCATTTCTTGTATGCAAACATAAAGGTTTTACTTTAAGCTCACGGGTTATCTGATCTCACTCTTCCTACATTTCGCTTAGCGTGGTGTGGCGCTGGCTTACTTTGGAAAAAGGCGTTCACCCCACAGTCTCTACTACAAAAAGTCAATCAAAGAACATTTAAATAAAGAAGACCTTAGAAGGGGTAGAAAATGATAGCGTAATAACTTTACTAGCTTTAACTTGATAGTTATATGAACAAAAAAAAATTCTCCAAAACGGAAGGGCAAATTTGATGATATTCGCACAAAAGACAAAAAATTAAATGGATGACGAAGAACAAATTTTATTTGTCTCCTCTGCTAAGGCTTGAACTTAGAACCTCCCGATTGATGTATATAACAGTCGGACGCGCTAGCCAATTCTATGGACCGTTAGTTATAATTTTGTATTTATTGAACGGTTGAACTTACGCGCCACAAAGGATGTTTTGGATCTCAAATTTGTTATCTTAGTATATTACCATACTACTGGCTGCCAGGTGGTCTACATTCCGACCAACGGAAAAGAAATGGTGCACGTGCACGTGGACTACCATCTACTGTATTAGCTGCGTTTCTATATATATAGCCCTCAATTTCTTCGCTATCTTTCCAGAATCCGTCTTTTATATATAAGTAGTTATATACAGGTAGGACATAAGACTTGTCTAAGGTACTAACTTGCCCGAGGAGTCGAGGACATAGACTCCGCTGGCCCTAGGCGCATATATCAGCATGGACTCACAGAATATGGGTATATCTGAACATGGGCACATAAATAGGCAGGACTACTATGCTCAATTTCTAGATCATTACAAACTTAAAGGATTTTCGCTTCAACTTCAATTTGATTTTTCATATCGAATCCTAACTCATACTAGGAGTCTATTACTGTGTTTCTTGGCGTCGTTGGCTTCCTTTACGCGTTACTCTTGGCACCCGGGAAGATCACGTGACCACATCTCTGAGCTTATACTGGGGACTAATGTGGAATTCACAAGAGTATGTAAAGACGTATGACTATATGTGCATGTGGCTTATGGCAAAACCAAATAAAACTATCCAAACAAATGTATAGAAGCATTTCTTTCCATACTGGTGATATGCTGTGCTGACTCATCGTCACGCACTAAGCTTCGCTTTCTGTCAACCTCAAATTCCATGTCCTCATCATCCCGTATCAGTAAACCGAATTGAGAGGCTACAATCCGTATTCAAAAAGTTCATCACTCGGAGACTATCCTCAAAGTCTGGCTAGAGAAGAATAAAGTACGGCAAGCATGTCTCCCGCAGCGTTGGACTCCGCGGAGGCACGATGGCAAATCCAGCTGGCAGAGATGAGAGCTGCTTTGGCAGACCTCAAACTGCCTCCTACCAATGCTGCCTCGCTTTCTTACGGCTCCGATATTGAATACGACGAAGACGAAGATTTCACATCTGGAAATAGTGGCGATGACGTTTGGGATTTTATTAGTGATGCCGAGGATGATTTCGACAGCAGCGACTTCAACGAAGACCAAATACCAGATGCAACAGCCGCTGGATATGGCCCGCAGTGGCTGAAAAGCAAATGCTTGATGTTTGCGTCTAGAAAAGAGGGCCTTTCCGGAGAAGACCTCCAGGAGCAAATTATGGCCCTTTTGGCGTCGGACAGCGTGGAAGAGGAACTCCAGTCAACCCTCACGGATGTTATTGGCTTTGATGATTTTGATTTCATTATTGAGCTCATTTTACATCGAAAGGAGATCACCGCCCCTTCACCATTTTCATCAAAGCAAACTGATGGGCTCTTTGGAAAGCTTCAGACGAAGCGAGAACGCGAGGAAGCTTTGAGGCAGAGGGATTATGAGCATAAGCATGCTACTTTGGGTCCAAGTCTGAATCGAGATGGACCTCAATATCCACATGTTTACAAGACTCACTCCGCTGGCAATATTCTTGATTCTCGTGGGCAGAAGTATGCCGTGCCTATTGGCACCGAAAGAACGGAGCACGAGGTATGTAATTTACTTCCTTCGTCATTTTCGAGACTTCGTGAGGTCTCAATTAGCAGCTCACTCAATATGTATAGAGATATGAAGAGTACGCGATTCCAGCCGGGAAGGTTGGGACTATCGGAGTGGGGCGTAAACTCGTCCAAATCTCGGAGATGGATGGTCTTTGTCGAAGGACATTCAGAGGGTATCAGACTCTGAACCGCATGCAAAGTCTAGTCTACCCCGTAGCATATCGGACCAGTGAAAATATGCTCATTTGTGCTCCAACTGGTGCTGTAAGTCAACCAAAATGACTACTTGGGGGATCTTCTAACGCAATCAGGGTAAAACCGATGCAGCAATGCTCACGGTTCTTCATGCAATCGGCCAAAATATTACTCCAAATCCCGCAGAAGAACCCGAAGCTTCTGACTTCGTGGTAAACACTGAAGACTTCAAGATCGTCTACATTGCGCCCATGAAGGCTCTTGCAGCTGAAATCACGCAGAAGCTTGGCAGTCGCCTTGCTTGGCTTGGCATTCAGGTACGAGAACTGACTGGGGACATGCATCTCACCAAAAAGGAGATCGTCCAGACCCAGATCATTGTTACTACCCCTGAAAAATGGGATGTCGTTACCCGAAAAGGAACTGGAGATACGGAGCTTGTGCAGAAAGTTCGATTGTTGATCATTGATGAAGTACATATGCTTCATGACGATCGTGGTGCTGTCCTCGAGTCATTGGTTGCGCGAACAGAAAGACAAGTCGAATCGACCCAGTCGTTGATTCGAATTGTTGGGCTTTCTGCCACGCTGCCGAATTATATAGATGTTGCAGATTTCCTCAAGGTCAACAGATATGCCGGTCTATTCTACTTCGACGCAAGTTTCAGACCAGTACCTCTGGAGCAACATTTTATTGGAGTCAAGGGCAAAGCTGGCACCAGAACTTCCAGGGATAACATCGATACCACTGCATTTGAAAAGGTCAGAGAGATGCTCGAGCAAGGCCATCAAATTATGGTGTTTGTGCACTCGAGAAAAGATACCCACAATACAGCCAAGATGCTTTACGAAAAAGCCGTTGACGATGTCTGCGTAGACCTTTTTGATCCAACGAACCACCCGCAGTACGAAAACGCGGCGAGAGAAATGTCAAAATCGCGCGGTAAAGAACTTCGTGATCTTCTTCCGAAAGGAATGGGAATTCATCACGCTGGTATGGCTCGTTCAGATAGGAATCTGATAGAGAAGCTGTTTGGAAATGGAGTACTAAAAGTCCTCTGCTGTACAGCAACCCTAGCTTGGGGTGTCAATTTACCCGCTGCAGCAGTCATAATCAAAGGTACTCAAGTTTACAGTGCACAGGAGGGTAAATTTATCGATCTCGGAATTCTGGACGTTCTTCAGATCTTCGGCCGTGCTGGTAGACCTCAGTTCGAAGATACTGGTATTGGTATGATCTGTACTACACAAGACAAACTCGCGCATTACCTTCAAGCCGTCACCGCTCAGGTGCCAATCGAGTCTCGATTTTCAAAGCACCTTGTTGACAATCTAAATGCGGAAATCGCATTGGGAACAGTGACTTCTGTTCCAGAAGCAGTGCAGTGGCTTGGATACTCTTACCTTTTTGTTCGGATGCAACGGAATCCTCTAACATACGGTATCGACTGGGCAGAACAGCGAGATGACCCAACCCTTGTCCAGCGCCGACGACAGCTTGTCATTCAGGCAGCCAGAACCCTCCAGCAAAGCCAAATGTAAGTTCTCTTTGAAAAAGACCATCGCTTCGAGATCGTTCACTCATAAGATTTTGTAAATCATGAAACACGGCTAAGCAATGCTAATCGAGGAATTTAATAGGATCATCTTCAACGAGACTACTGAAGAACTTCGAAGTAAAGATGTTGGTCGTATCGCAAGTCAATTCTACGTCTTACACACGAGTGTTCAAATCTTCAACACCATGATGAAACCTCAAGCTACTGAAGCAGATGTTCTCAAAATGATTGCAATGAGTGGAGAATTTGACAACATCCAATCAAGAGATAACGAATCGAAGGAACTCACGAAATTGAGAGAGGAAGCGTCACCCTGTGACGTCTCGGAAGGCAACGATACGCCACAAGCCAAGACGAATATCCTCCTTCAATCCTACATTTCCCGGGCTAACCTGGAGGATTTTGCGCTAGCAAACGACTCAAATTATATTGCTCAACAATCTGCCAGAATATGCAGAGCACTATTCATGATTGCCTTGAATCGGCGATGGGGACATCAGTGCCTCGTCTTACTTTCTCTTTGCAAATCGATCGAGAAGAGACTTTGGCCTTTCCAGCACCCCCTGCACCAATTTGAACTCCCAAAGTCGGTTCTGAATCAATTGGACTCGAAGGATGCAGTCTCAATTGAGACATTGAGAGATATGGATGCAGCTGAAATCGGCTCGATGATCCATAACCATGGAGCGGGGAAGGTTGTATCTAAAATTCTTGACAACTTCCCAACTATCAGTGTCGAATCCGAGATTGCCCCTCTTAATAGAGACGTGCTTCGAATTCGTCTATATCTGACACCAGACTTTCGGTGGAACGATCGTCACCATGGAACATCCGAGAGTTACTGGATCTGGGTTGAGAATTCGGAAACATTAGAGATTTACCACCACGAATTCTTCATCCTCAATCGGAGAAAGCTTTATGATGACCACGAACTCAACTTTACGATTCCGCTCTCCGATCCGCTACCTACTCAGATCTACGTGAGAGCAGTCTCTGATCGTTGGCTTGGGGCGGAGACTGTTCACGCTATTTCCTTCCAGCACCTGATCAGACCAGATACAGAGAGTGTCTACACAGATCTCCTCAACCTCCAACCGCTACCTGTCAGTGCCCTAAAGAATCCTGCACTGGAGGATATCTATAGCCAGAGATTCCAATTCTTTAATCCCATGCAGACGCAACTCTTTCATTGCTTGTATCATACACCTGCCAACGTTCTCTTGGGCTCACCAACCGGATCCGGCAAGACAATTGCCTGTGAATTGGCAATGTGGTGGGCTTTCAGAGAGAAGCCGGGGTCCAAAGTCGTTTACATTGCTCCCATGAAAGCTCTTGTCCGCGAGCGGGTAAAAGACTGGAGTGCACGTCTTACTCGGCAGATGGGACTCAAGCTAGTTGAGCTTACGGGTGATAACACTCCTGACACTCGTACCATTAGAGATGCAGACATTATCGTCACCACCCCCGAGAAATGGGATGGTATCAGTAGATCATGGCAAACGAGAGGCTATGTTCGACAAGTCAGTCTTGTCATCATTGATGAGATCCACTTGCTAGGAGGAGATCGGGGGCCAATTCTCGAGATCATCGTGTCTCGTATGAACTACATTGCAGCTCAGTCTAAGAACTCTGTCCGGCTAATGGGCATGTCAACAGCGTGTGCCAACGCCATGGACTTGGGTAATTGGCTTGGAGTCAAGGAGGGCCTTTTCAATTTCCGTCACAGCGTCCGTCCTGTTCCACTGGAGATATTTATTGATGGCTTCCCCGAAGTTCGTGGCTTCTGCCCTTTGATGCAGTCCATGAACCGACCTACATTCTTGGCAATCAAGACGCACAGTCCTGACAAGCCTGTCATTGTCTTTGTAGCATCCCGAAGACAAACACGCTTGACGGCTAAGGATCTCATCAACTTCTGTGGCATGGAAGACAATCCTCGGCGGTTTGTCAAGATGTCTGAAGAAGACTTACAGCTCAACCTTTCCCGTGTCAAAGATGATGCCTTGAAGGAGGCGCTGAGTTTTGGAATTGGTCTTCATCATGCTGGTCTTATTGAGTCTGATAGGTCTCTCGCGGAAGAATTGTTTGCAAACAACAAGATTCAGATTCTCGTCGCTACAAGTACTCTTGCTTGGGGTGTCAATCTTCCAGCTCATCTGGTGGTAGTCAAGGGAACGCAATTTTTTGATGCTAAAATCGAAGGATACAAAGATATGGACCTCACCGATGTTCTTCAAATGTTGGGTCGTGCTGGTCGTCCTCAGTTTGATACCTCTGGTATTGCTCGTATTTTTACCCAAGACTCCAAGAAGGCTTTCTACAAGCATTTCTTGCATACTGGTTTCCCCGTTGAATCATCTCTCCACAATGTCTTGGACAACCATCTTGGCGCTGAAGTTTCCGCTGAGACTATTACCACCAAGCAGGATGCTCTTGACTATCTAACGTGGACATTTTTCTTCCGGCGCCTTCACAAGAATCCCTCATACTATGGGCTTGAGATCTCTGCAGAAGAGCACAATACCATTGCTGCGCAACAAATGGCAAACGAATACATGGTTTCCATAGTCAACAAATCTCTCGAGGAACTAGCCGAATCGAAATGTCTCGAACTCTATCCCAATGGCAACGTCGATTCAACCCCTCTTGGCAAGATAATGAGTTACTACTACCTCTCTCATAAAACTATTCGCCATCTCGTCACACATGCCACACGCAATGCAACATTCGCCGACGTCCTCGCCTGGATGTCCAGCGCCACAGAATACGACGAGCTTCCCGTCCGCCACAACGAAGAGCTCATCAACGCCGAACTCTCCAAGAACCTTCCACTTCCCGCATCATCGTTCGATGGTCTCCCCATGTGGGATCCGCACGTGAAAGCCTTTCTGTTGTTGCAGGCACACATGTCACGTATCGACCTTCCAATCACAGATTATGTCGGTGACCAAACCAGTGTTCTCGACCAGGCAATCCGTATCATCCAAGCTAGCATCGACGTCCTGACCGAGCTAGGCTATCTTTCAAGTTGCATGCAGATGATCACCTTACTGCAATGCATCAAATGCGGACGCTGGCCTACTGATTACCCATTATCCATTCTCCCTGGAGTACCATCCGAGAAACCAGATGATAAGGACCTCCCTCCGCGCTTGCAGGATTTCTCCGCAGAATCGGAACCCGCGTATAAACGCACGATTTCATATCTGGGGATTGGAGCTGGACAACTCCCCCGATTTGAAAAGGCTGCGGTTATGATACCGCATCTTAAAATACACGTCCAGGATCTTTCTGCTGCATCTTTAACTGTTGCTTTGAACCGCCAGAATCCTCTCACAGACCGAGATGGGAAGATGTACGCGCCTCGCTTCCCAAAGTCTCAGACCGAAGGCTGGTTCGTGCTTCTATGTAAAGAGGATAGAGACGACATTGTTGCTATTAAGAGAGTCGGATGGAGTAGTAGTGGAAGTGGAAGGGGACCGGCGAGGTTGAGTGCTAAGGCTGTGATTAAGCTGCCAGCTGATGGTGAAAGTGGAAGCGCAGGGAGGAAATTGGACGTCTGGGTCGTGAGTGATGGGTATTTGGGGATGGTTTACAAGATTGAAGGGGTAGAGATTCCAGAATTGAGGGTCATGAGTGTTATGGATGATGGGAAGAAGGGGAAGGGGCCAACTTAGAGTGAGCAGGGCTCAGCTGCTTGATGCATGAATGAATGAACGTCCGTTAAGAATACGAAGTAGATGCCGGAAGTTCTTCTAGCATATTGTTTGAGGATTTATACGACTTATATGGCCAAATTCATGAAAGAACATCGTATTCATAGGCATATGAGAAAGAAGGGACCCGGACAGTAACTTCGAGCCATTAAGTTCCTCCTGATTATGGGTTCTTGGGGGCAGTTTCAGGCCTCAAGTAAACAATTTGCGACCATCTTTCCTTCTTAACTTCTCGCCTATCTATACGATGTGAAAGAATGAGTTTGTCGTGGTATTAAGCAAGCTTAAATATTGATATAGTATCAGGAGAATGGTATAATAACCCCTCATTTTGTATTTCAAATTTGCACTCCAAATCAAGCACTAAACTACGAACTATATACTCAGCACTACGCATACCTTGACTCCCTCAGTCTAGCTATCACCAACACCTTCCTTGTCTTCCCACTCGAGAAGTGCTGCTATACCGGGGCTCGAGCCTCTATTTCTTCGCAAAGTCTTTTGGATCAGTAATAAGATATGCAAGGCTCCAATGACAAGTATCAATACTATCAGAAAAACTTGCAAATCTGCCATAATGAATACCTTTTCGGGGTATAACAGCTCAATTTCATCTTCAATATCCTCTTGCATTTTCCACTCAGGTTCTTCTGCCCGCATTTTCAGGGGATTTGCTGGTGACCTATGCATCATTTATTCATTGTATGAGATGGGAATGGCGATGTACTTTGGATTGGGGTACTGGAATGTATTTATAGATTTTCTTTCATTGATCAGTATCGAGAGTTGAAAGAAAGAGTCTTTGTATAGGTGCATCTGGGGCGTCCTGCGCTGCTTAAGGGGTGTCGGCTAATAAATTAGCCGGGATTTTTTGCTGCGGAAGAAGGGGGCTGCTTGCAATGCAATTCGGAATTAGAGATTGGGCTAGAAGACATAGCAAAAAGTTTTAAATTAAATGAAAGCCATGTATAGGGGAGTAAGCTTTTTACATCAGAAATGAGGTTATAAAAAAGTCACCAAATCCTAATATTTAGGGCGATAAAAACGGCTCCAGACAGTACGTACTTTACACACGTGTTAATAACACAACACGCAGCACGTTCAGGTCAATCATTATCCCTCTGGGTCTTCGATTTACGTACCGCCTTATAGCTTGTCTAATAAATGGAAATTCTGCACTCAATGGGCATACATACCGAGAATCCACCGTTTTCGCCCCCGGTCCCGTCTTATAGTCTCCACTCCGACAGGAACCACCCCACTATAGGACCGCGAAGCTTTTCAGGATTCGCACAACGACGGCAGCTAGGAAGACTGCCGGACTTTTTTCGCTTGATTAAATTATACTCTTTCATCATCAAACATGGGCATTGGAGTTTGGTGGTTGTTGGAAAGTGGGGTGGGTTGTATGACTACGAGCCCTCAAGTCTCTCTTTTCCACGAAAGCTGCACGTTAACGTTAAGACCTGATTGCCTCTCAAAATGGAGGAAAACGGACTCCCAGCAAGGACCGAGCAGAAAGCAGTAGAAGTGAACGAAGCTGTATCTTCCGATTCTGAATCAGATAATTCTTCGAGAAGGGCGACACGAAATGAGACAATATGGACGATATTCGGCTGTGTCAGTATCCGGTGATTCGACTGAGCATGATTGATAGGACTAACATCTTCTCAGGCGCTTGCCAATTTTTCAGATGGCTATCAGCAAAGTTTGGTAAGATTGATGTAATTGATCCAGAATACGTCTCAGTCTGCTGACCTGCTCAGGCATCAAGCACCAACGTCGTAATGAACCATCTCCTAGGAACCAAAGTATATACGGCAACGTTCCAGACTCGCCTCTCCAATGCCCTTCTCATAGGCTCAATCGTCGGCATCCTCATCCTAGGATACGCCTCTGACCTGTTCTCCCGGAAGAGTGGAATGCTGATAACGTCCACCTTGGTAGTCATCGGTTCTCTACTCTCTACTCTCGTCTTCCAAGTATCACCCGCAAAAAACATGCTCTGGTTCCTGATTATCGCCCGTGGGATCGCCGGCGTGGGTGTAGGGGGAGAATACCCAACTTCTGCGGCAGCAGCTCTCGAAGGATCAAATGAGTATTTTGACAGCAAGCGCGGCCCAATCCAGGTATTAATTTCGACGTTGATGGCCACCTCAGGAGGACCAGTCTGTACATTCGTCTACCTCATGACTCTTCTAGCCACATCCAACAATCTGAAGACAGCATACCACGCCATTAATGGAATCTCCATCGTCCTCCCCTTTCTTGTAATTATCTTCCGGCTCAAGATGCACGACGGGCGACTTTTCCGGAAATCCAATTTCAAGCAAAGAGCAGTTCCATGGATGATTCTCCTGAAACAAAAGAAATATCTCATCAGACTCCTTGGGACAAGTTCTGCATTCTTCTTATACGATTTTGTCAATTTTCCCAATTCGATCTTGTCGTCGGCCATCATAAATAACATCGTGCCAAATCACAATGTCCGTCAAGTGGCACTTTGGCAGCTCATCCTCGCTTTGTTTCCAGTCCCCGGAGTTTTTCTCGGCGCGTGGCTTGTTAATCGCATCGGAAGGCGATGGACTGGAATTATTGGCTTCAGTGGGTATATAATCATCGGATTTATCATGGGTGGAGCGTACACAGAGCTAACAACGAAATCAATCCCTGCATTTGTTGTCTTGTATGGTCTGCTCCAAGCCTGTGGACATATGGGACCAGGAGCCACGATTGGCCTGATCAGTGTAGAGAGTTTTCCGACTGCTGTGCGAGGAATGGGATATGGTGTCAGTGCTGGTTTTGGAAAGGCGGGCGCTGCTATTGGGACACAGGTCTTTACGCCGATTCAGGCTGCGGCAGGAAAGTCGGCGACTTTCTATGTGGCGGGAGGTATAGGAATCATTGGTGTTGTCATTTATTGGCTCCTGCCGGAAGGAAGAGATGTCGATTTGGCGGCCATGGACGAGGAGTTTGAGGCCAGTTTAAGGGAAGCTGGTTACTCGGAAAAGATGATCGAGAGCTCTTGATTTGAAGATTCATTCTACTCGTGGAAATAATTTGCCTCCAGATTTGACTTTCGAAGCTGAAGTCGACCTTGAATATCTACGTGCTGCCTTTCGTGTCTACTGCTATATAGCTCACGTGACCCTATTGCACGGTGTTCCTCGCTCACCTTCTCTCAGTCCGACTAATCCTTAGAGGGTCGGAGTCTCATGATTTTACCTGGATTCAACAAGCCCAACGGATCCAGAGCAAGTTTCAATCTTCTCATGGCATCGACTGCATCTTCGCCAAGCTCATATACCAATGCATCACGATTTTCGAGCCCAATGCCATGCTCGCCGGTAACAGTTCCATGCATGTCGACACCAAGCATCTGAGTATCACGTATAATTTTTCGTGCAATGGATTTCTCGTGGGGAGAATAGAGTACAGTTGTATGGAAGTTACCTGGAAGGTACGTTAGCGTTTTTGAAGAGCGTTGACACAAATATACCTCACCATCACCAACGTGTCCAAGACAAGATCCCACCAAACCGCTCTTTTCCACCATCTTTTTCGTCTCGTCAATGATATCTGCAAGCCTCGAAATGGGGACCGCTACATCTGCACTCAAAAAATCGTCACCTGGATCACGCTTCATGGCAAGCAAGCTCCAAAGCGCCGTTTTCCTGGCTTGCCACAACGCAGCAGCCTCTTCATCTGTTTTCGAGCGCTTAAATGATCCGCAATTGTTTACCTTAGCAAGCTTCTCAACACGATCGATCTGTTTTTGAACAGCCTGAGGGGTCTCACCAGAGAATTTGAAGAATATTGTAGATTCTTCGGCCCATGCGTCGTTCGTGTAGCCGGCCTTGTTGATAGCATGCATCGTAACATCATCAAGGAGTTCCATCGCTTCCAGTTGATGGCCAGAGCCTGATATTTGAATGGTAGTGTTTGTAGCTTGATGCAGTGTTGGGAAAGAGGCAACTGCTATCCGAATATTATTTGGCTTGAGAGTAACTCTCAAGGAAGCCTCCGTGACAATTCCAAGCGTTCCTTCAGACCCAACGAACAATCGTGTCAGATCATAGCCAGCGCTAGATTTCCGTGGTCGATGGCGCGTTTTGATTATGGTACCGTCTGCAAGGACTACGGTAAGCCCAAGCACCCAATCTTTCATGGTACCATAACGATACGCATTCGTTCCCGAACAGCCTTGGCCGATCATACCTCCAATCTGAGCTCCTGGGCCTGGATCTGGAGGGAAAAATAGATTCAACTTTGACAGAGCCTGGTTGAGATCCTCGTAGCCAACCCCAGGTTGCACAACAACATCCATATCATCCCGATGAACTTCCAAGATCTTGTTCATTTTTTTGAAGTCCAAACATATCTCACCATTCTCTGCAGCAAGTGTGCCCTCGAGAGAAGTACCGCCCGAGAAAGCAATCATAGGTATCTGGCGTTTATGACAAATTTTAGAAATGGCTGCTGTTTCCTCTGTTGTAGAAGGATATACAACGAGACTCGGACGATCATAGTCACCACGCGGGGCTTTGGACCATTCTGTACTAGAATGGGCAATGCGCGTTCCTAGATGGTCGGTAACGCCCTCCGGACCTAAAAGCTCTTGAAGCTCTTTTCGGGCCCCATCTAGGTTGGATTGAGATAGGTTATATTGAGGGGTATTGTGACCTTTTAATGGTGTTGTTGATCTCATGCCTGAGAGGCCAGGTTCTGATCGACTCACGAAGAAAACCGATAAGCCCAACGCCGTTGATAATATAAAGCCAACGAAAAAAGATGTGGGGTTGAAAGAACCTCCAGGGAGCCTTTCCTTTGCTGAGGTACCCGATGGTTGAGCAGAGAAATGCCTCACATAATAAAGGGGCTTCCCCGCTTGAGCAAAACGCGTATGTTGGTGTTTGGATCTGAGTCCGAGCTGAAAACGAGGCACTCTCCTAAACATGTTTTGACCGGTGGTTTCTGCCCTTCTCAAGCTGTTAATAATAGCTTGAGGGACAGGTCTTTGGACTTAGCAATGATGTTTGTCGATGTCCCCTTTCCTGATGTCGCGCTTATGGCTATGCATGCCAAGAGGCCCGTGCCAACAGGGGGTGGGGGTGTACGCCGCAAATATATGCAAGGACCTGAAATACAGCGCCGGTCCCCTGAATCTGCAGCGAACGTCCACAGCTGATGGACGATTAGATGCTAAAATAGCTATAAAATTAAAATAGACCTTGCAGTTTAGCTTCGGCCATCAAAAAGTTGATAGTTTTTAACGCAGACAATACTCGAACTGCGAAAGCAGGGTGAAATTAGAAGCCCCTTTCAATTTTCCGGGTGCAGACTTTTCAAGTCTTGCGGCCATTAATAGACTGCATACCTAGAGCACTTATACTTAAAAGCTCTAAATGATAATATCAATCAAACAGTGACTTTTCAAATATTCGGTATAGAGAAAATCAAACGGTACATGCCATAGAAGAGAAGATATTGAGAAATAGCAGGGTGGTAAATAGATGGTTCAAGAGACTATGAGTTTCTATAGACAGCAAAGCTTATAATCTTCAAGCCAATAAACCATTCTAGGGGCTAGAACAATACCTACCTTACCAAAGGTAAGTATATTTGTACTTATTGACGCCCCTTCACTACTCAATCCGAATCTAGATCGTGGGCTTAAAAGATGAAGGATCTGACATTTTATTTCCTACTATTTACATGAAAGCTACTCCCAATACCAAAGTTTCTTTCATCAACCATAAACCTGACTTCAACTATTAACAGAGAATGAAATAACATATATATGACTTTCGCCAATACATTGATTCCCCCAAAACAACTCAATACGCTGATCTCGACAACGCATACGGTATACCCTCAACCCTGAAACCAGCCCGCTATCAACGCCAACTCCTTTTCTCAACCACATCTACACTTAGCATCATACTTATCTTCATCCCTCCATCACCCTACACAAACCTCGATTCAGGCCCCAAAACCATCTCTCCAAGTACATCATACTCCCCCAGACCATCATATATCTTCACAAAAATCACGCACGCCGCGAGCACAAAGGCAACAGTGCTTTCCTTGCATTCGATTTTCCGAAGCTAGCAGCCGGGACAAGATTTGGTAGAGGTAGTAGACATCGCAAAGGGCTGTTGTTGCGGAGGCGCGGGGGGTAGATGGTTAGGATTGCCCTGGAATGATTTCCGAATGATTTCCGGGGAGGGTGTCAAGAGAGGAGACACGACAAGGGCATAGGGAGGGAGCTGGAGGGTAAGGAAGTAGTTCCCCTCGGAAAACACAGGGCGAGGTGTTTCGTTTCTGATCTGGTTGTGGATAGGAGAGGAATCAAGGGAGGGGTATGCGCGAATAGCCTTCGATTATGTATAATAGATAGCTGGGTAGTGATCGTATTTCAATAAACACATCAGTTAACCTCCTCTCCTCCTACCCCTCAGAGTCGTCCCTCCCCAACCACCACACAGATACTACAAGCGCAACGCCACAAACCAAGCCCACTGCATGGTCTCCAGCCCATCTATCCCAAAATGTAGGATTTTTATCCAGGCCTTGCGCTTGCGCCGTCCTCTCTTTCGTGCATACCGGACAGACGTCCTCGCTGCTCTTCTCCTTGGATTCGATGGTTTGTTTTTTGCAGACGTTGTTACTACAGTAGCTTGCTTCAGCGAGCCCGTAGTGGCCGCAGACGTGCCGTGTGGAGTAGGAGGTAATACACATTGGTGTATCATGGGGTTTGTGTTGCGTGGGTACTGTTCGTAGGTATTTCTCGCGATTGATTAGCAATGATTCGAGGGTACTGACTTACTTGGCCTCCAGACAATACGAAGGGAATAGTTGAACTTGCTCGTAATTAGCTGCTTGCGGGTGGATTGGGTATTGCTCTTTGTTTAGGAAAAGGGGGACTTTTGTGGAGTACCCGAAAGCCTTTGTATGGAGCTATCTGCCTACTTCATGGTGAGGAGGACATTGCAGTTAGGCTTTGTTACCTGCTAGTCCGCGCTAAGAACTCAGGCTGCGCACTTTCAGACTGTATTGAATCAAATTCATGGGCGGTATCCTACGCGACTTTAGGGGTAAACGTACAACATTTTACACTTTCAAAGACCGATTTATGACAATGCTCGCACAGCACAGTACTGCTTTTCATCATTTGAAATTCGATTGATTTAGCAAATGCGCACTTCTGAGATTCTCGCAGATGAAAGGCTCCACTAGCTGTGATCGAATATCCTCCTCTTCTCTTTCAATTGCTCATCTAATCTTGAACCAAGCTGACTAGAGACATCCAATGGGACTCTGGAACTAGGACTATTCCGATACAGAAGTCTATCCGATGCAGAAGGACTCAAGAGCTTGCATCTACGGCCCCCTTGAAGCTGTTCCAAGCACCACTTCGAGCCCTACGAAGGATTTCCCCTTGAGCAACATCGCAAGACACCATCGCCGCCGAAAAAACATTGCAACGAAGGAAACAAGTTGAGCAAATGGACAATGGGCGTCGCAGAATCACACGTGGGATGATGGAAGGGTGCGAGCTTTCGTGATATGCTCAAGGAGTAGATCGGGGTGCACCAGGCTGCGCTGCAGTCTCAGACTCTCCTCCCTTGCTTCTACTCCTAGTGGGAGATATGTTGCTAGTTGAGAATGCAAACCACGGTGTATGCTCCGAGGCATTTGGCCTCCTGAAATCTACATCACATGGCTCAAATATGGTCAAACCCTTTCTCTTGCAATGGTCAATTGCTAATAAAATGCCGGCTCCTTCGCAGCCTTTGGAACGAATGCATGGGGTCTCAACTGAACTCTGACATTGCGCAAATCCACAAGCAGATTGCGGCCTAGTTAACAGCTCTTGCTCGTGCAAATTGGATCGCCGTGGCATGAAGCGGGTGGCTTGTCACAATGAAGTTCAAGAGGAAGAAGCATTGTGGTGAGACGACACGAAGAGTAGAAAGGGAAAGATCACAAGTGCAGGATGAGGAGACATATGAAGCTACTAAAGTACAGTAGACTAGAATGTCTACTCCAACCCAAGTGGGAAAAGACTGAAAGATTTGAGTGAAAAAGAGTTGGGACTTTCTATGGTTCTCGCCCAGATACCAAAAGACTCGGTCGTTCCTAACGTGTTTGAGACCCCTTGGGCATGAATGGAAGCGTGCTGATGGTACACTTTTTTGATTCGTAAAAGGAAGATGTTCACAGTCATGTTCTAAACATCACTCTCTTCTTCTGAAAGTAAGACGAGTAGAGGAGTGCAACAGTAGAATGCTTTGCTTCAGTAATCGTTCAAGATGTTGTGTCAGAGATAAAATGATTTGAGACGCTTGTTCTCGTGAGATTTCGGCGAGGACTTTTATCAGGAGTTCATAGATGATCCGACTTCACGACCGGAATGTAATTCGAGCTAGTAGCTTGCTTTCCGGCATGTATTACTCGCTATGTCTTCGACGCCAGCCTAGCTGAAATGTTGTTTGGAAGAGAAAATCGGGGTGAGTTTGAGTTTGCGCACTGCGCGACAGATGGACCGTGCACGGGGCTACAGTTTCATCCAACCTCAAGTCTGCTCTCTTTCGACAGTAATTCTCATGATGCTCCCTTACAGAATGGGGACAGTATATTTCCATGACTCTCTGATTGCATATAGATGCTATGATTCTGCCTGCTATTTGACCAAGGCAACTAAAGCACTACATGTCCACTTGGGCGTCTCTTTTAATACCCACGAGCTTCAAGGCACTACCTTAAAGCCAACCATTATGTCTTTGAGAACGCCTTCTTCTTGTGCTCACAGCCTGAGCTTGAAAGTAACGATGGATACTGGATAAGTAGCAAGTGCTTTGGAATTATATTTGGAAGGTGCGTTTGAATATCCAGTCGCTGGGTGATAGCTTCTTAAGAAAGAAGGAATCCTGATGCGCATTAATTAGCTTGGAGACGCCAATAATTCTGCTTCGTTGTTAGTAGCAAGACGTAAAATTATCCGAAAAGATTGCCTACCTGATGTTGCCAAGTCCGGGTAGCTAAAGGCTGGGCAATGATCATGTTGCTGAAGTAGTTTGCTTCGCACAAGACGCGACCCTTCATTGGCAGGTTTCCTTGTAGATTGCAATTGTCTCCTCCAATTTGGGCTTTGAGCGAAGGGTACGTTCAAAGGATATCTGCTCCTAAGCGTATGATGCCGAAATACAACCCTGCCAGAGATATCTTTCATTGTGAGTATAGCGCTTCGTGCTGTTCATTCTGTATGTGCCATTCCATCAATGCAGACGACGACAGTTGTATTTTGTTCTTCAGAGATCCGTAATTCCAGCGCTAGATCCTTGTTGCTCTGTCCTCTGTTGTCTATGCTCGAGCATGGTAGGGTCCGAATCAGGAATCCATCGCTTCTTCTTCTATAAAGACAAGCAGCAGCAGCTCCATTTCGCATCTTGGTACGGTTCGTAGGTATTTCCTAGGGACTCTTTGGCTCTGAATGTAGATGCCAGGGCTGAAGGGCATGTGGGATGTTTCCTTCGCGGGTTCATGCATCGGTCAGTCGTATTGTATGTCGTGGTGTGGGTCGTTCGAAAGAATAAAGGCTGTCGGGTCGTGGCTTGCAAATTCTAGAACTTGTCAGCGCGATACACTTCCAGCAACTCTGAATTAAGGTGTGTTTCAAGGAAGAAGTCGTATCAGATACCTTGTTCCAGGCCTCTATATAATCTTGTTGCTATCCAGTCCCAGTCTCCTTGCGATGGCTGTACCTTTTCCATGTCTCTCTTATGCCTCTTGTATTCAAATTCTTCGGCAGTGTCATCGCTCCGTCGCCCCCTAATTCATGGTAGTGTCTCTGCAATGCATGCTGTCCTAGTCTTTGTTCCGTGCAGCAGCTCATCTGTCCAAGCTGCCCAGATAAAACCCACCTTGGGGCATGGCGCTGTGCTATTGTTCTTGGTATGGGACAGGGGGCGGGGTGTTGGGAAGTCGGGGCCGCGACAAGAGATCTTCTCCCCCTTTACAGCTACCTCGCTGGTACCTAGGTACCTACGTACCCCCTCGAACTCAGTCATAACTCCTGAGGCACACACAGGCATGCCTCCCCTCTATCCAGGCGTTCCAATGTGGTAGATCTAGCCGTGTAGGGTTAGTGGAGGTGCTCGCTTAATGAATGGGTTGTCTCGACGTGGTACAAAAGGTCAGGGTCTCCCACAGCTTCGAGCTTTCTCGAAAACAAAACAACAAAACATTCAACTCGATCATCAACTTCAATCCCCCTTCTACCCCACATCCATCTCACCCTCTGGCACACTTAGCTGTTCCATCTACTTTGCATTGTCTACCTTACGTGTCTACCTCAAGGTAAGCTGTTCTACTCTCATGGCCTCGTCGCTGCGCTCGAGATCGGATTTATTTGCATTTTACATCTGCCTTCGCACAACCACCACTGCCAGCCTCCATCAGCTCGCATCCCATCACCATCCTCAACATCTTCCACATCATCACGCAACAGCAGCTAACCTATCATCCACCGCAGCGCTGTCTACTCTTGTACAATATCGTCAAGTCAACTGACATCAAGTAAGCATTGACCCTGCTCCTTCACTCTTGCTCCCCCATTCCTTCGCGCGTCTCTTTCTTCTACCCTGTCCATTTCTTAGCTATCGCTCGCACATCGGCGACAATCAAGGCGTGTCACGCTGAAGAGCAAGGTTTCTGCTCAGCCCCTCGTCTCGATCTGGGTCCTCCTCTTCTCCTTGCCTCTTCATAGCATCACCCTCAACACATCTCCTTGACATTGTGCTCGCATTTGGCTTGCTCCACGAGCAAGAGAAAATCTTCAATTTTGAAGGCATTTTCTCTGGGGCTTCTGAGAGCGGTCCCAAGTGAATCTATGAACATCGGCTTTTCTTCGTCTAAATTTCCCACAACATCACAACATTGCCCGCTTTCCACCTTCTACCTCCACCTTCTACGTCCGCCTTCTACTTCTACCTTCCACTTTCCTTCTTCACTGCTACATCACAAACGCATCATCTACATCTTCAAGTACTCTGTGCCTCTCAGATATCTCAACATCTTTTATCTACCTGAATCACATTCTTACCATTTCATTCACTGCTCTCTCAGATTAACTTCTGTTCGTTTTCCCTCTGTCCTTCAACCCCACTGGTCTTGACAACCACTCCTTTACTCTCTCACCCCTTCAACACTTTCAGCTATTCACCTTTCATCAAACTTTCACTGAGCTTGGCTAACAATATCTATCAGCTCCAAACAATTGACCGTCATGTCTTGGCAAAACACCAAAGACCTGGCTGAGGCCCTGCCCGATGCTTCTTCAACTGGCTGGGGTACTGACACCAATGCTGCTCCGGCTTCTGATGGCTGGGGTGTAGATGCTTTGGTCGACACTACCGCCGATGTTGAGGAGGCCCCCCGTCCATCTTATACTCCTGCTGGCATCACCAAGACACCAGGTGAAGTCGGATGGGCTGACAATAAGAATTCTGCTTATGACTATGCAACCTTCAGCAAGTCGAACAAGCAGCTTGCCGATGAAAAGGCTGCGCATGGTGAAGCCGAAGGTCAGACTCCAGGTGATGGCCAAGACCCTGAAGCTGAGCCCGTTGGTGCCGTCGGTGGTTTGACAAGCGGCGAATGGGCATCCAGTGCTGTTGTTTATGAATGGCGCGAGGAGTATGGAGATGTTGGCCCACGTTTTCCCGATCTCGAAAAGCAATTGTTTGGTTCCGAGCTCCATGTCCGTGAAGGTATCGAATTTAAGGAGTAAGTTCCAATGGTGTCTTCTCGAACGTATGCTCATTACCGTTTAGGATCTCTGAACTTCAAGTTATTCAAGAGGGCAACATCAAGCTCAACCCGGTCCGCAAGTTCGAGGATGCTGGTCTACATCCAGTCATGTTGGAGAACGTTAGGTTGGCCGGCTACACTGTCCCAACCCCCATTCAACAGTACACCCTTCCTGCCGTTCTCAAAGGCCATGATATTGTTGCATGCGCTCAAACTGGTAGGCAGCTTTGCAATCTTGCGGTTTCATTCACGTTGACATTTCTCATAGGTTCCGGCAAGACCGCTGCTTTCCTCATCCCGATTCTGTCAAAGTTGATGGGTAAGGCCAAGAAGCTTGCGGCTCCGCGACCAAACCCTGCAACCTTCATATCCGGAACTCATGCACCCGTTCGTGCTGAGCCTTTGGTCTTGATCGTATGCCCAACTCGTGAACTGGCCACTCAGATCTTCGATGAAGCTCGGCGCTTCTGTTACCGAACCATGCTTCGTCCTTGCGTCATTTACGGCGGTGGACCCATTTCCGAACAGTTCATTCAACTCCAAAAGGGTTGCGATGTTCTCGTTGCAACTCCAGGTCGGCTGTGTGATTTTATCAACAGACCCACTATTCTCACCCTCAAGCGTCTCAAGTACATGGTGATTGATGAGGCTGATGAGATGCTAACATCTGACTGGGACGTTGAGCTGAACCAAATCATGTCCGGTGGTGGTATGTTTACTCTTTCCTTCGCGGCGACAGAATTGCTAACAGAAAGTAGATCAAGAGGATGGCAATATCAACTACTTGATGTTCTCCGCAACCTTTCCTAAGATTGCCCAACAGCTTGCTACCGAGCACCTTGCGCCCAGTCACGTTCGCGTCCGCGTCGGTCGTGCTGGTAGCAGTCACAAGAACATCAAGCAGGAGATTATCTACGTTGAGCCTTCGATGAAGAAACAAGCTTTGTGGGACTTGCTGATGTCTGGAAAAGCTGCTCGCACCATCATTTTTGTCAACTCCAAGCGTACCGCTGATGAGGTTGATGATTTCCTTTTCAACCAAGACCTCCCCTGTACCTCCATTCATGGCGATCGCACTCAGCGTGAGCGTGAGGATTCCATCCGTGCTTTCCGCATGGGCAAGGCCCCAGTTCTTATCGCCACTGGTGTTTCCGCTCGTGGTTTGGACATCCACTTCGTTGCTCATGTCATCAACTACGATCTGCCTTCACACAATCACGGTGGTATTGAGGATTACATCCACCGCATTGGTAAGTTCTGTCGCTCATTGTTATTTATTGATAGTTGAAGCTAATGAGTTCATCAGGTCGTACCGGCCGTATTGGAAACCTCGGTCTTGCGACTTCGTTCTTCAATGATCGTGATGCCGACCTCGCCGAGCCCATCGTCAAGGTTTTGCTTGAGACTGGTCAGGCTATCCCCGACTTCCTTACCGAATACATCCCAGAGGGTTTCGAGGATGGAAAAGGCGATGTCTCAAAGTTGCAGTTTGAACCTTTGGAGGAGGAGTTTAACGTTGCCGATCCTGCTGATCCTGGATGGGGAGTAACTGAACCTGCGCCTGTCCATAGTGGATGGGGTCTTCCATCTCTGGCTGATCTTAAACCTACTGCTACTGGCTGGGGTCTTCCTACTACTGGCTGGGGTGCTCCACCTCCGGCTCCTACTCCAGCTAAAGCTACTATGGTTCCTGGTGGATGGAACTCTGAGGTACCGCCTTCTTCTTCCAAATCAGCCTGGTAAATCATCCGCCTTGCGCTTGATTGGCATCACTCATGATCTGCTTTACATTGGTGTCTTTCATGGCACAGACTTTCATAATCCAGAAATCTCTTGGGTTGAATTGCGACTATGTTGGACTGGTGGTTGATAGGTCATTTGCATCAATGCTTTGATCTAAAAGATTTCGGGTTTCTTCTTTCTATGTAAAAAGTCATGGTTATTCGCACGGAGAAGGGCTGACTTGCAGTGACGAGGACCCCTCCACTCCGGGTGTGGAATTGCTATGACAATAAAAAGGTTCTACAAAACATCGTCTTCCTGCAACGTGATTGAAACTCGCAATAACTTGACTTCTGAATACCTTTTCAATCCCGACAAAGAAGCTCGATACCTTCCTTTCCCTGTGAAAAGCCCTCGTTTGTATTCCAAGATGAATAATAGAAAATCCTTATACTTCTCCAAGCTTTTCTCCCCAAAGCACCGCATATCCTCCCCAGCAGCACACTCTCAATCTCGTACGTCGAGCAGATGCCCACCTCGACCTCCTGTCTCCCATCCTCTCCTTTTGTCCTTTACATGATAGATCAAAAAGCACAGAACCATATTCCACCTCCACTCTCTCCTCTCCACCCCGCCATGCAACCGCACCACCCAGGATCCTCCTCCTTGTCCCCAACAGCACCTCGCCGTATAGGTAAACACGCTCGGACTAACCCTTACCTAGCCCAGCTTAACCCATCCCTCTCCACTTCTCCCTCCAGCTTACAAGGTACCCCCTACCCTACGGTATACGCCCTCCATCTATGATCATCTTGCTAATATGAAAACCTACAATGTCGAGAGTCGAGCGAGCTCAGAACACAGAGACCGAGAATACTGCACCGACTACTATAACACCTCCATACTCCGCATCCCCAAGCTCATTTCTGCAAGCCATACATCCTTCCCAGCTTCAAACCGGACACATACACATCTGGCACATGCGTACACAGCGACGAATAACAAGCACAGCTCAAAGCACAACCACAGCCTCAGGGTCCGATGAGTCGAGCTTCTCTTCTCTGTCCCCGTCTCAAGATACGAAACTAACGCTCGTCAACCACAGAACAAGTAGAAAGAACACAAACACGCCCTTCGATTCCGACTTCCTAGGCTTACCAACTACGTCTCCAACTCAGACCCACGCCCAAGTCCAAGCCCGAACAAAGCCCAACAAGAACTTGCTTGTCTCTCTGCGAACGTTGGGTTACGCTTCCGAATATACATACACCGTACGCCCACTCCCACGCCATTTCAAGCTCTACGAACATCGAACCTCCTTCTCCCTCGTACCTCTTCGCTCATGTAAAACCACGCAAAGCCACGCAACGCGCAAAGCAAAGCACAGGACAGGACAGGACAGGAAAGCGCGAACGCGGACGCAGATATATATACAATCCCCGCTTCATTACTCGTAGTATCATGACACAATGCACCAGTATGAAGCAGCATCGACATCAAAAGCACTCCTTCCTTTCACCCTACACGACCGCTGTACACGACACGACAGAACACGCGACACACGACATGGATAGTACAAATTAAAGCATCCCATCCCATCCATACCTCTCCTCCCCCTCCATCTCAATCTCCCGCTTCCCCATCCCATCCCAACCCGTCTTAAAACCTCACAGCTCACACACACACACACATCTATCTACAGCACCAGCCATACATACCATACATACACACCATACACACCATACATACCATACATCTCTCACCTCTCGCCTCTCGCCTCTCGCCTCGAATCTCGATACACGTAAAGGAAGAAAGATGGAAAGATGGATAGATACTTCGGTAGAAGAGCTAGTGTGCATGTGGCCCGGTAGAGATTCCCGGGATTAGATTGAGGGCTGAGGCAGGCCGTACGTTTATCTAGAATAGCCTCTAGATGAAAATAAAGATTGCGGTGCAGGATCCAAGGTATGAGACACTCGTGCGTACATAATCGAGTCCGAATAGATTCCTCCTAGAAATAGTTGGATAATCAAGCACGAGCAGATAGAGGACACAGATAGCAGGTTTTAATGCTGGATTACAGATGAAAAGATGCTAACATGGAGTATACCGCATCCCCAAGATATAGCGGTGTGTCGTATGGTTCACGTAGGCATTATCGTGTTAAGTGTAGTCAAAGAAGGCTGCTCAAGGAAAGGTATCTATTATAATTATCTGTTGGATGCCTTCAATGGAAGGACTTATATAGAGGCAGGAGCCTCCATGATTTGATGACTCATCTTCCCCATTACACTGATTCATCCTATCCACTTGACCCCTCATGTTCGATATTTTTATGAACAGCCTTACAGGATAAGTATTTCGTGAATCATAATCACGCCCATAGTAAAGAAAGTAACCACCTCCAATTCAGCTGCAATATACAACGCCGAGATAGGAGAGTGTCATAACACAGCATGACCGTGATCAAATATGCGGGGAAAAGCATGGAAAATGCCATCTAAAGTGGTATCCGCATGATAGGCCCAAGGGAACAGGATCCAGCTGCTTAAACAGTTTGTCCAACAGCAGAATGGTTCGCGTGGGTACCAGTAATACCACCAGTAGCCACAGCATCAGACCCCGAGTTATGGAACACTCCATTGTTGTTGTGCGCAGGCAGGCCATCCTTCTCGGCGTCAAGCGCATTATGCTCAGAGCCGAGGTGGCGACCATGCGCGTGGTTCCTGTTGGTGGGTGCAGTCTGATAATCACGGATGTAGAGACCAAGAGTTGCTGGGTCAATGTTGCGGTGTCCTACGAGGAGCAATATACCGAAAATGGGCTTGGCGAGGATATCAAGAATGCCGTAGAAAACAGCCTCGGAGTCGGGAGAAATGACATTGCCACCTTCGGAGAGACCCCAGGCGATGGGGTAGATGAACCAGAGGAAGATGGTCCATACACCGCAGACCATGAAGGTTCTGTTGACTGTGGAACCAAGTGCGCGAGAGTGTTTGAGGCCAACAAAGACAACGTTGTATGCAATGCCCACTAAGGCTACCGTCGCGAAGGTAAAATAACCCCATTTGTATGAGGAGGCGACGAGAGCACCGACGAGTCCAGTGATGATCATGACCTCGTCGAGGAAAATGGTGTAGAGTATGGTAGGCCATGGCACACCGGCAGTGAGGAGTAGGTCCAGAAGAAGAAGCTGCGATAGTCAGGAGATGGCGATATCTGGAAAAGGTGCAGGACTTACGGGAGTTGTGACAAACCAGTCAATGTAGCGGACGTAGAATATCTCACGAGTGAAACCGGCAACCTTGGCGTTGTTTCTCTGGAACTCGACGGCGATTGGAGTGTAACCCAAGTTCGATGCCATGCTAAAATAGGCAATGGAAGCAGTGAGAGTGATGGCGGCGGTGATGTAGTGGAAGATGCGTCTTTCGCGCGTGACCATCAAACTAGTTGCAAGGAAGGCGATTGTCGAGGCGGCCATGACAGCAGTGACAGCCCAATACCAGTCAGAGCCATGGGTCGTAATGTTGATGTCGGAGGATTGGTAATAGTTGAAGATGTTGGGGTTAGCGCTCAAGGCACCGTTGCCTGATCGTGATTGAATACCCATCTTGACTCTTGACTGGTGTAGTGTATTGAAGAATGCAGATAGAAGATTTGTTTGTGGGATGAGAGGACGAGAGGAGATGATGAGAAGAGATGATGGGAGGAGCAAGATGCAATACAAAAAGGGGATGTTGCAGGCAAGAAGAAGAGAAGAGGAAGTCGACAGGATTTGAGTTTGAGAAGGGTAGGTCAATGTCTCTAAGAGTATGATGATTCCGGTGACGTTGTCGTTATTCGTTTGTAGTAGGACCTACGTGCGATAGTTGAAACGTTTTAGCAGGGAAGGGAGGAATGATCAATGGCGCTTGCTTCATCTTAGTCCAACATTCTCACTTGAGTTGTTTCCTTGGGAATGTGCTACAGTACTGGTAGGTATCCGAAGATGCGATGCTTCCTTGAATTGATATCGTTGCCACGCTGCGGTGCCACTGCAATTCGAGCTTTGAAGTCGTACTAATCACTCACTTGACAGCGTCGACCTTCCAAACATCCAAACTCTGTTGCCAATCCTCACCTTCACTTTCACTTGATCCGATACAATTGGTCCTCACTGCGTTAATCAACAATGACCAGTCTCAAAGCGCACAAATGATGAATCATCACCCGCAGACCCCTCTAGACGCCCTCATTGGACAAAAAGCTCCTAGCCTTCCCGCACAGGCCGGCATCCTCCACGGTCTTACTCGATACGTCGTTCTTGTAACTCCCGGCGTTCATGATGTCAGAGAAAGGATGACCTAAATGGTTATATACCTAGGTTACGTACAACAATCAATCACAATATAAGACTTGTTTTGACCTCTTATGCTAGCTTCAAGCCTTAGTCCATCGTCTGTTCTAACATGAGGCTACACAGGACAAGGATCCGTAGAGGATAAGCTAGGGGTAGTAGCTGTCCTCAGTCCAACGAGCCCGCGATCGCCGCTAACAGTCAAGCTTCCCAAGATCTCAGCCACAGCCGCACCAGCACCAACCACAAAACGGTCCGAGCGCCGGGGCAAACGGAGTGGAGAACTAGATGCGATATGGGATTTGGAGATTGCCATAGAGTGATAGGGGAATACCATACCATACTTGATATAGAGCAGGGCAGGATAATACAATTATATGAGAATATGAGATCCTAGACGCAAAAGTCCATGTAATTACCGTAGGTATAGGCTTTTGCGATGATTGATTCTCAGGAATGATTAAAATGGAATAAACGAAGACGAAGCATTTCGTGTTGGAGAGGAAGACTCAAGGTTGAGATATGCGTATAATAATGCCTAAGTGGAAAACAAAGTTGTCAGTATCATAGCTTTCTCGGTCTTCCTAGGAGAGTGGTGACTGGCAGATCTTAACAGCAACTGTCTCGTTCCCCTCCCCAAATTGCAAGTTTTAGGGCTGGAAAAATGACCTGTTAAAATGACCTAGCATGCCTTTTAAGTTTTGGCCCTCGGAACGAACCCTCGAGAGATCGCTATGATGAAGCAGCATTTCCCATAAGTCGTTATCATTGCTTCTATTCTCCTTGATGACAGGGTCATTAAACACCCCAGTCCTGCTCCGTAACAAATGTTTGAAGATGGCTGGATGTCGTATCTGCCTCCAAACAGGCCGCATGAGCCTCTGAGGCTAGGTCCTCTATGTGCGGCAGAGATCAAGGTCTATAAAACCCCATGTTGGTGTGACACTTTCTGCAATACAAGACTTGAGGAGGAAAATCGAAACAAACGAAGGGAAGGGCTGAAGATCCAGCGAACAAACTGGAAATATCGAAGTTTCTCTGTCTCTTGAGGGATAACTATTCAAGTGCCTGATTATTTGCTGACTTTGATGGTTTGCAGATCCGGTGTTTTGTCGTATCCGTTGCTTTTGACCACAGCTCCTCACCGAACGAATTTTATCTTGACAGCAAGGCCCCATTATGTTCTATCTATTTTCAGCTTCTTGCGTGTTCCATGTTCCATGTTCCAACCAAGACGGCTAGCAAGCTCGGCTTGGAGTAAGTGGAGAGTACTAGTATTGATAAAAGACACGAATATTCAAGGAAGTGATAGCGCCTTGTTTCTTCTTATTGACTGTGGAATCAGCGGTCACTCCGAGACGATGGATGGTGATCTGAGCATAGTATATCTGAAGTGGAGTTTAAACGTCTCCCGATCATTACTTGAACGAACGAGTTTATTCTAGGCAGCCAAAACCCTCCTATCTAGCGTGACCAAACCCCCACGGCCATCTTTCTGGGAGTATATCCTTTAAATTGCTTTCCCATTTTCTTAAACCTAATTCTATGTGGGATGTGCTAGCATTCTAATACGCAGATCATTAACAGCTTTCTTATAGCTCGTATTTAGGGTTTTCGGGTTAGCTTAGGTAGTGATTGACAGTTCGGACGCTCCGTTCAAGTGAATGCCTAGTCACAGCCTCAGTCGTCGAAGGGTACGTCCCATCTTGGAATCTATTTTCTTGTCGAAACTTGCTGCAATGCTGGATTTCCATGATAAGGAACGCAGTATACGACGAACAGCTGTCTACCCATTGGTTGCCCATGGGCGTGGTGGGGGCATGAAGGTACTAGGCGCAGTCATCTTGGCATGCCCAGGTGGATTCCGCTGAAACGTTTCGCTCCAAAGAAAATCTATGGCTATAGTTTTTGGAAATCTGAGATGAAAGAGTAAAGTTGTTCTTGCAACAGAAGCATGCTTGATATTTTAGCATACTGTGAGTCCTGCTCGTATACCTGAAGGGGAAAGAAGTGACCTGATTCCCGAAGGCACGGGCTAATATGCTGAATCGCTGATATGTATAGATGGATTCTCTGGACAGCTGGAAATGAAAATAGAGTTAGATGCTGCAAAATTGCCTTCTAGATCAACTACATTACAAGTTGGGAATCTCTCGACTTCAGCCAGAGAGTAATATTAAGATCAAGGAGTGAGTAGTAGATACTCGGAAGTAATTTGAATTCTAATTGGGATTTTCCAGATTCTTCTCGAGTTTTATGGGACCACAATACTAGTGATAAGAGGTAATAAGAATAAGTAAGCAAGATATTTACTCTATTGTATCTCGTATTACCCTTCTGCATGTCTGCAAATCTCAGTCGATTAGATATTATGTTGATTGCAGCGCATTTAAGGCTAGGCTGAGGTTCATTGAAGAGATGGGACCTAAAACACTAGCCTGGAGTTCTCTAGTGCTTGCATGGTTGAAGTTTCAGCGCACGTGCATTAAACTTTAACGGCTTCCACTCTAAAGGGCTGTAGGACAACTCCTTCTGCGCAATCTTCATTTATTCTCCACGTATAGCAAGGTACGCAATCCTTTCCTTCGATAGGGCAGATTGAGCTAACCTTGAGTAGTTCAACGCAACGTTTCGTCCATTTCTGCGAGCACCTGCTGTGTTACGACTCTCTGAAAGTGTTCTCTCTAGGGTGAAGATCCGCACCACGTTTTTTCGTACGTGAAAGTCAGATACGATGGCAAATGCTTCTGCAAAGACGTTTCATCAACTGGGGGGCTATACGTATACGGGTGTACCAATCTCTCCTTCATCCTCAAAGTACCACCGCCAGGAGTCGTATAATATGGCGTGCGGTGGGATTATTCGAGGCTCTGCCACGGTATATACTTCTCAGCTAGGCTTGAGGGAACGACGTATACCAGTTCCTTACGGCGTATCTGAAGTTCATGACCATACCGATCGGCCTATTACAAGGCTTGTTGTCACGAGTAGGAGTCAGGGCCATGGAGAGAAGCGCGGCGCGATGGGTCTCTGGTCTGACATTTTCTCCATCGGCGCATCGTATGCAATCCTTCGCGACGATTGTGGAAGGCCATTACCCAACGGTGTTGTATAATCGAGATTGGGGGCCTTGGGCAGTGCTGAGAAAGGGGTCAAAGGTCTTTCTTGGCAGTCCAGGGTGTTCATCCCTGATCAGCACTAGGAACCACGTGCCGCAATCTACAGAGTAACTGACGGCGCATTCAGATATTACACCCCTTTCCAATAGGGCATAACTTTAATCTTCACTCACGCAACATGCAGCCACGATCGTCTTCTCATAGGCTTAAACGGGCTCAGCCGCAGGCACGGGATCGATTGCGATCCTGCGTGAGCCCTAAATAGCCTTCTAATGGGTATTCGCCAATGACATGAAACCAGATTGCACTGTGGCCCGAGCCTCCTTCCTGTGGGGCTTGACCAGTTGAGTTCTTCATCAAGAGCAGAATCCATTTCAAATATCTAGCCTGTCTCTCCAGTGAACATCTCTTTTTTGTATAGTATCTTTTCGAACTTTCTTTCTAAACCCCACACTCATTTTTGGGAATATTCACGTTGGAAGATGGTATCACGGTCCTTGTTCTGCCTTTTGGCGGCTGCTATTCCTGTCTTTTCCTCTGCTCTGAAGCCGATACTTGCTCACGACGTAAGATATGTCGATGTGCCTGAAAGACGGCATCTCGACCTCAGCGAATTCTCGCATTTGGAGGGGCGATCCCAAAACCTTGGGACTTACAACCTTGGCAAGACCTTTCCAGCGAACGATGTCTGGATTAATGTGTATGATATCCTGAGAATGGAGGAGTTGAGGCTGAGCTGACTGTTTATTAGTGCATTGGGAACACCCGGAAGTGGGGCTTTCAGTGGTCAAACCTCTGTGACGGCTACCTGTCTCTCTTGCTACACTAATGGCACTGCTGTTGTCACCACAGATGGAGTCAAGACGGACGAGAGTATCCTTGGAGACGTAATAGATTGGTTCAAAGCAAAAAATAAGACGGATGTTGTCACACAAGCACTTGGTTTGGATTTAGAAGTCCAACTCGACAACCTTGGCGGCCATTTTGAATTCGATATATCCTTTGCGGCTTCTGGTACATATACTGTAACGCTTTTCAAGTCGGAGACTCCAGTCGGTGTTGAGGTAAGTCTTCAAGTTTTGCTCCTCGGACTCAAACTAGGACGGTCGGGTTTTTACACGAGATAGGTACTAACCATCAATAGCTTGACGACAGCAACAAAATAGGACTAGTATTCACCATTGAACTGTCCCTTACCGTTTCAGATGCGGTTGACTTTACAACTGGCTTCGATTTGTCGTTCCCGAAAGGTGCCAGTTTCACCCTAAATCCTATCAATGGTGACTTGGTCTCTATGAACATGTAAGTCCTCCATGCCTCCTGCATAATCTTACATATTAACAAATTTTAGTGGAGGCGCACAGGTCAACTCCTTACCCGTCAAGTTTAGGAAAGGCGCTGCATGTATTTCTGCCGTCTTGCGCCTCAAGTTTCAAGCCGGTGTTGCACTTAGTGTCTTCGGATCTGGTTTCGACTTTGAATCCGGAGTCTACTTTGACCCCCTGCAGTACAAAGCTTGTGTTGTAGACCAACCAGGCCAAGCATGTCCATTGGAATTCACAGAGAACTTCTATGAGGAAATCGGAGCCTATGCTAGGGCAGTAGTGGATCTCGATTTTGCAAAGCTGTCCGCTGGACCTACTGCTGTGTCTACCTTTTTCACTGGAGCCCTACCTTCTAAATGCTTGTCTTCTGCGACATCATCAGTTTCGAAGACGCTCGCCATCGCTTCGGGGGCCATCACTTCGTCGGCTGAACCAATCAAGGACCACTCCGCTACAGGCACAAACTCGACCTTGCGCTCTTCGTCTCTGGGTTCTTCTACGATACGGATCCCACTTTCAACTGGGGCTTCTAAGGCCAACGCGACATCTAGGACCAACCGTATAATCAGTGCAACAAGCGTTTCAGGAGGGGTACACCAGATATCCACAGGCACAGGCACAGGCAGCTCTTATCTCGGAACCGGATCTGCTGGCGGGGTCTACTCGGTCCCTACACACTCTGCACCATATGCAAACGCATCAGTTCCAGCGATTGGCTCGACCAGCTACACCACCGATACGCTGACTCTGACTACAACTTCTACCGTTTCTTCCTGTGCATCTGAAGCCACTGGTTGCTCCGTTGGCCAAGTGACTACTATTGTCTACACTACCACAACTGTATGTCCTGTTGCTGCCGCCAGCTCTGCCAATGCCGCAGTCCAAGCTCCGACCACCACAAGCGCCGGCGATCTAACAACAAGAACAATCTCCGAGGTCAGTTCAACCATTACGTCTTGCCTCGCCAATTCCGTTCACTGCCCGGCATCTCTCCAATCACCTATTGTGGTTACACAAACTATCGTTGCGTATACCACGGTTTGCCCTGTCACGCAATCTGTATTTCCTGCAGCACCGGCCAATCCTGTAGCAGTAGCAGCAGCTTCAATAACAGCTGCTGCCGCTTTCCAGGCCGCTGGCTTAAGCGCCGCTGTAGAACTCTCTTCCTGCGAGACTCCAATCGTCCAGACAATCGACGTGTACGCTACACTTACGAAGACCATAACTATAACAGTCAGTGGACCTTCCTTCACCTCGACTACGGTTGAAACCATCAGCGTACCTGTCCCGCAAGTGTACGTCCCAGCTTCCGTGACAGGGTCAGTGACCGGATCAGTGACCGGGTCAGCTAGCTCCGCTGGAGGATACCCGGTGAATCAACTCACGTCTGTCCCTTTGACCACCGCAAGCAAGAGTGCCAGCAAACCTTACTACCCACTGGGGAACTCGACTTTAGCAAACTTTCCGACCGCATCTGGTGTATCTGGAGTCGGTACCATTTATGGAACAGGAGCACCATCAGCTCCAGTTCTACCCATAGCGCCGATCAAGTCAGGGGCTCCCATTTACGGGAAGAACAATGGCGGAGTCTTTGCTGAAAAAGACGTAGCCAGTACACAGAGTAGCAGTAATCCTGCTCCCACGCTCTCTAAGAAGACTGCTGGTGCGGAATCCACCATTCCCAACTGCGTCATGGCGTTTGTGTGCTTAGCGATTGGAGTTTTCGTCGTGCTTTAGTTTAAAATTATGGGATATGATATGAATTGGGGCTGCGAGTTTTGGGATTTCTTTACTTGCGATGATATCACGGTGGATTTTGAACAGACCATCCAGACGGGATTCTATGACTTTGGGATTCGCTTCTTTATTATGTTGTATATATTATATTATACCCTTTCCGCCAGGTTGATTGATGAACGGACGTGGTGAGGTGCCATTTTTAAGCTAGAATGAAGCGAGTTTTTCTTGGGTTTGACACTTCTGCGTTCTCGTATTGCTCCTTGATAGTGACACGGAGTAGCAATCTGAAATAAAAGAGGCAATCTCACGTGTCTTGACTCTTTTCAAGCTACGAACTAGTAAGGAGTGAACTAATCTGAGAAAGGCCAAGAGCTCCTCGAAATTAACGGCATCCATAACCGTCAAGCGGGCGTCGACCTTCTGTTTGGGGATACTTGGGATGAATGGAGCCGGTGACTTGCACTGAGGGAATGGATCCTGGAGGAGCTAGAGGCTAGTAGTAGGTAGGTAGGAAGAAAGAATATGCTTGACATAATGGGGATATACCGGTATTTCCTGGTTTCAGCGCACGGGAGCAAGCGCTTTTAGGATTCCTATAGCACATTGATCCGACCAGTCGTGTAGGACCCATCGCAAAAGATACAAGTCAGCGTCGCGTCTTTGACCGGCTACTGGGTGAAGAAATTGTTACGTAGTGAGATACTTTACGGGAATGGATGACGCTTTTTGTACTGCTAGCAAGCGCATGTTAAAGTTATTAGGGATTGATAGGTAGACTTGTGTGATTCGCTCTACATATTCTGTGCAGAGAAGAAAGGGGGAGGCGGTTTTGAAGAATTTACCCCGCGATGAGGGGTAGCAGTGCAGTTCAGGGGCAACACGCTACTGTGTTAGCGGCCTGTCGCTAAATTTCAGCGTTCACTCCCCTATTTTAGGCGATTCTTACTAGTACCAGGCTCTTAAAGTAAAATATGTAAGGTATATTATATAAGGCAAGTAGCCTAGCGTGTTATGCAACTCTCAAAACTGCTATATAATAAGAGTAACTGAATTCTAAAATCATCTACAGAACTGTAGAATCTACTAATTAGGAATTACTGATTAGATCAGATTAGATTAGATTAGACACCATCATACGTCACAGCCCCGCGTTCCTTGGCAACCATCAAAATCTTGAAAATGATGTTTATCTCGATTTAGAATAAAATAAACCTTCTCCGACATATCGTACGATAAATCTATATATAAAAGGACCCCTCTCTACCACAGCAATGTCCGATAACCCAGAACCACCACCAGAGCACAGCACCCCTGACAAAGAGGGCTCAGAACCAACAGCAGAAAGCACGCAAGCAAAAGTGATATCCGAAGTCAACAACCGCCTCGCAGAAGCCGAAGCAGCGGGAGTATCCGCGACGTCCGCGCGCCAACGAGCCGACGAGACCTCGGATCCGGAAGAGAAGAAAAAGTTGCTGCAGGAGGCGGACAAGCAGGACAAGAAGTCCAAGAGCGCGATTAAGACCGCGCAGAGGCTGCAGAGCGGCGTGTGGCAGGGGGGCGCTTCGGGT